AGTGAAACAAAATTAATACATTGGCATAACTATTATGTTTCACTGATACTGTACAAGCACTATACTGTTTTAATTGTTGTAGTCTTATAATGTGTTTTGTTGACGATAATTAAAAAAAAAAAACTGCAGCTGTATATCAACATGGAACTGCCAGAAGTTCAAGCCAGATTTAGAAGAGCACATGGAATGAGGGATATCATTGCTGATGTCAGAAGGAGCGTGGCTGAAAGCAGAGAATACCAGACAGATGTTTACTTGTTTTTTATCGACTTCATGAAGCAATTTGACTGTGTGGATCATAACAAATTATGGATAACATTATAAAGAATAGGAATTCCAGAACACTCACTTGTGCTCATGCAGAACCTGTATATGGATCAAGAGGCAGTCACATGAACAGAACAAGGAGATACTGTGTGGTTCAGAATTGGAAGAGGTATGTGGCTGGGTTGTATCCTTCTACCTTACTTATCCAATCTGTAGGCTGAACAAACAATCCAAGAGACTGGACCATATGAAGAAGACCAGGGTATCAGGATTGGAGGAAGCCTCATTAACCTGTGATATGCAGATAACACAACCTTGCTTGCTGAAAATGAAGATGATGTGAAGTACTTACTAATGCAGGTCAAAGACTACAGTCATCAGTATGGATTACACATGAACGTGAAGAAAATGAAAATCCTCACGACTGAGCAATACACATCACGATGAATGAAGAAATTGAAGTTGCCAACCATTTCATTCTAAATGGATCGACAATCAAGGTTCATGGGAGCAGCAGTCAATAAACCCAACAACGTATTGCACTGGGGCAAATCTACTGCAAAAGACCTTTAAATTTTAAAAAGCAAAGATGTCACTTTGATGACTAAGGTGTGCCTGATCGAAGCCATAGTCTTTTCAGTCACCCCTTATGCATGCAAAAGTTGGACTATGAGAAAGGAAGACAGAAGAAGAACTGATGCATTTGAATTGTGGTGCTGACTAAGAATATTGAATATACTGTGGACTGCAACCAGCTGAGGAGTAGATAAATAAAATGTGGTATAGCCATAAATCAAAAAACCAAACTCATTGCCATCGAAGTCTATTCTGACTCATAGTGACCCTATAGGACAGAGTAAAACTGCCCCATAGGGTTTCCAAGGCTCTAATCTTTATGGAAGCAGACTGCCACATCCTTCTCCCACAGAGTGGCTGGTGGGTTCAAACCACTGATCTTTCGCTTAGCAGCCGAGCACTTAACCACGGTACCACCAGCGCTCCTTGGTATAGCTATACAATGGAATATTATTTGGTAATAAAAAGGAATGAAGTATTGATACAGACTACATCATGAACCTTGAAAACATGCTAAGTGAAAGAAGCCAATCACAAAAGACCACATTATATGATTCCATGCGTAAGAAATGTCCAGAAGAGGGAATCTATAGAGACAGAATGACTAGTGCTTACTTTAGGGGGCAGGGGGGAGGGAAGGATTAAGAAGACAGAGGGTGATAGCTAAAGGGTAAGTCTTTCTTTTGAAGTGATAAAAATATTCTAAAATTGACTGTGGTGATAGTTGCACATATCTGTAAATATACTAAAAACCACTTTAAAGGGTTAATTATATGGTATGTAAATTATTTCTCAATAAAGCTTTTTTTTTTTAAATATGATTGATTTTGAGTCAGATGAACACTGTTGGCCCAATCAATTGCAGCCAGAAAGGTCAAAGTCATGATTCCACTCGGAAAGTTGGGAGTGGGTTTGCAGATGCTCTAAGCAGAGTGTATGTGAAGAACTGGAAGTTAAAGTCCAGTGTCATCCACAGGTACTATCTATAATCACTAAGGCAGGTTGATACTACCTCCAGAATGCTTCCTGAATCTGTTCCCTGTCACTGCTCTAACTTAAGCCCTCATCTTTTCCCTGAAATAATGCAAGACTTTCCTAACAGCTTTGCTGGCTTCACTCTCACTCTGTTGAAATCTAGCCTTTACACAGCCGCAGGGGTTGAGGATTAAATGAAAACTTTGTAAATTTTTAAAGTACTCTACAAATATAAAATGGTAGTTGGGAGGAAAATAAATCAAACCACATTACTCGTCTGCTTAAAAACCTTCAGTGATTTCCCCATTACCTAAATAAAGACCAAAGCTCCCTAGAATGGTGTTCAGTCTCTTCATGTTGTTGTTAGGTGCCATCCAGTTGGTTCTGACTCATAGCGACCCTATGTACAACAGAACAAAACACTGCCGGTCCTGCGCCATCCTCATAATCGTTGCTATGTTTAAGCCTATTGTTGCAGCCACTGTATCAATCCATCTCGTTGAGGGTCTTCCTCTTTTTCACTGACCCTCTACTTTATCAAGCATGATGTCTTTCTCATAGGGATTGGTCTCTCCTGGTAACATGTCCAAAGTACAGAAGACGAAGTCTTGCCATCCTCCCTTCTAAGGAGCATTCTGGCTGTACTTCCAGGACAGATTTGTCTGTTCTTCTGGCAGTCCATGGTATAGTCAATATTCTTCACCAACACCATAATTCGAAGGCATCAATTCTTCAGCCTTCCTGATTCATTGTCCAGCTTTCCCATGCATATGAAGTGATTGAACGGATTGTGGCATGGGTCAGGTGCACCTTAGTCCTCAAGGTGGTATCTTTGCTTTTGAACATTTTGAAGAGGTCTTTCACATGGATCTGCTTCCATGCGTGTTGATTGTGGATCCAGGTAAAATGAAATCCTTGACAACTTCAACCTTTTCTCCGTTTATCATGATGTTGTTTAATGGTCTAGTTGTGAGGATTTTTGTTTTATGTTGAGGTGTAATCCATACTGAAGGCTGTAGACTTTGATCTTCATCAGTAAGTGGTTTACGTCCTCTTTGTTTTCAGCAAGCAAGGTTGTGTCATTGGCATATTGCAGGTTGTTAACGAGTCTTCCTCCAATCCTGATGCCATGTTCTTCATATCGTCCAGCCTCTCAGATTATTTGCTCAGCATACAGCTTAAGTATGATCAAACGATACAACCCTGATGCACACCTTTCCTGATTTTAAACCACACAGTATCTCCTTGTTCTGTTCAAATGACTACCTCTTTGTCTATGTACAGGTTTTGCATGAGTACAATGAAGTGTTCTCGAATTCCCATTCTTCACAATGTTACCCATAATTTGTTATGATCCACACAGTCAAATACCTTTGCACAGTCAATAAAACACAGGTAAACGTCTTTCTGGTATTCTCTGCTTTCAGCCAACATCCATCTGACATCAGCAGTGATATCCCTTGTTCCACATCTTCTTCTGAATCCAGCTTGAATTTCTGGCAGTTCCCTGTCAATGTACTACTACAACCATTTTTTAATTATCTTCAGCAAAATTTACTTGCATGTCATATTAATGATATTGTTCAATAATTTCTGCATTCTGTTGGATCACCTTTCTTTGGAATGGGCACAAATATGGATCTCTTCCAGTCAGTTGGCCAGGTAGCTGGCGTCCAAATTTCTCAGCATAGATGAATGAGTGCTTCCAGCATTGCATGCATTTGTTGAAACATCAAATGGTATTCCGTCAATTCCTGAAGCCTTGTTTTTCACCAGTGCCTTCAGTGCAGCTTGGACTTCTTCCTTCAGTGCCATCTGTTCTTGATCATATGCTACCTCCTGAAATGGCTGAACATCGACAGATTCTTTTTGGTACAGTGACTGTGTGTATTCCTTCCATCTTCTTTTGATGCTTCGTGCGGCATTCATCATTTTGCCCATAGAATTCTTCAATATTGCAACTCCAGGCTTCAATTTTTTCTTCCGTTCTTTCACTTGAGAAATGTGGAGTGTGTTCTTCCCTTCTGGTTTTCCAACTCCAGGTCTTTGCACGTACCCTTCCAGTTTCAGCACTTGTTATGGCAACTACCCTCCCTCTCCAAACACTGCTATTCCTTAAACAGGTCATTCATTTCCATAAGCATTTTGCTCTACTGCCTATATGTAGTCCACCTCTTCTTCGCCTGAGAAACCCTTCTCACTCTTTAAGACCGGGGTTGCAGGTCAAACCTTCTAGTAAACCATGATAAGGTAAACCTTATCAAAATCAATGCCTCTTTCCTCTGAACCCAGTGCCGTGGAGTCGATTCCGACTCATACTGACCCTATAGGACAGAGCAGAACTGCCCCACAGTTTCCAAGGAACGCCTGGTAGATTCTAACTGCGGACCTTTTGGTTAGCAGCCGTACCAGTTAACCACTACACTACCAGGGTTTCCACCAATCCCCTTGGTGGGCCACAATTACCTTATTTGCATAGTCCCACCCAGTCACTTGGGTAAGAGTCACAGGACTATGGCTAGAACGGCGGTATTAAGCAATGCATTGCACTGCAAAAGGCCTGGTGACCCACTTCAGAAAAATCAGCTGAACTCTTAACCACTACGCCACCAGAGTTTCCTCTTTCCTCTGGGGTCCTGCAAATCTCTCGTAAAACACCACAGATTTAGACTACTATTCCAGCCATTTATTTCTCCCCTCCGGGGAGCGCTATATTCTAGCTCTATTTACCAGTTTCATCCGTCTCGGACTTCCTCAGCTCCACCACCTGGTTCTGGGAATTTGACTATGGCAGTGTCTTAGAGCAAACTGAAGTGCCAAAAGCTCGCGTTCGCACAGTGCAGAGACAACCGAGCACTTAACCGCTCTCAAGGGTCAGGTTACGTTCCAGAGAGTGCTGGGTCGGAAGCCGCGGGGCCCGCCGGCAGTGTATGCTGGGAGGTGTAGTCCCGGACCGACCCAACTGTCTCTCGGGAGTTGTAGTCCGTCATCTGGTAGCTCTCCCCGGAGGAGAGAAAGAGATGAATTAGTCCTTAAGAGAAAAAGGAAGAAGGCAACCGATAATACCATGCAAGTTCCTTGGGCCAGTGTCTCCGGTTCTCGAGCAATGGTCGAAGCGGCTCGAAGGCTGATCCGCGAAGGGCGGGGAGACGTTACGTTGACGCGGGCGTGACCCTGCCCAAGAGGGTTTGGCGGGATTTCTGAAAGCCGCGGGCCGATCGCGCGCTGCGGTCGGTACTGAGGCCTGAGAAGAGCTGAGGCGCGCCCAAAGGTGCGTAATTGGGAGCCTCACCTCGTCTGGCTTGTACGCCGAAGGCTTAGGCAAAGGAGTAGAGAAGTGCGGCGCAAGTGAGGGGCGGGGGGCCGTCCGGAGTTGCCCGCTCGCTAGGCCAGCTGACGGAAGTCGGAGCGCACGGCCCACCAGAGCGAGCAGAGTGAGGTGAGTGTGTAAGGCGCGTACTAGGCCCCTTTCCACGGCCACTCACCGTCCCCGCGTTAGGGGGATCGGGCTCCGGTCCGTGCTGCCGCCACCGGCCTACAGGGTCCCATCGCGCTAAGCGAAGACCTGGGTGATGGCGGAGCAGGGGCATGCCCGGACTAGCCGTCCTCAGAGCTCGTTGTGGAGAAAACAGAAGCGGACCCCAGTCTTTAGAGCTGGGAAGAACCTTAAACACCTTTATATCCCGTACTTATTTTATGGGTCAGGAAGCCGAGACCCAGAGAGGTGTACTGACTTGGTTAAGTTCACAGCTATTTAATGTTAGAGTCGGGTTTTCTGGATTCCTGTTCAGTCCTCTTTCCACTACGGCATGTTTTGCTTACAAAGTACCGACTTCAGTTGCCAGAAAGATACTTCCGTTGTCTGATGTGGAAGACTGTTCACGTGATGCTTAGAGAATGATCTGAAGTGGGTTTTTTTTTTTTTTTTTCCCTAAATTTCTACATTAAAGTGTAATATAGGTAGAACTGCCCCATAGAGTGGAAACCCTGGTGGTGTAGTGGTTAAGAGCTATGGCTGCTAACGAAAAAGTCCCAGTTGGAATCCGTCAGGCAGTCCTTGGAAACCATATGGGGCACTTCTACTCTGTCCTATAGGGTCGCTAAGAGTCGGAATCTATTCGGCGGCAACGGGTTTTAATCAGCCCCATAGAGTTTCCAGGGGGCGCCTGGTGAATTCGAACTGCTGACCTTTTGGTTAACAGCGAGTTCTTAACCAGTGTGCCACCAGGACTCCTAAATGAAATAATACTGTATGTATTCTTTCATGGAGCCCTCGTGGCCCAGTCGTTGAGTTCGGCTGCTAACCAAAAAGTGGGCTGTTGGAATCCACCAGCCACGATTTGGAAACTCTATAAGGCAGTTCTACTCTGTCCTGTAGGGTCGCTATGTGTCGTAATTGACTCTACGGCAATGGGTTTGGGTGGTTTTATATTATTTTGTGTCTGGTTCCAATCTGTATAGTGTGTGTAGATTCATGCGTGTCCTAGCATATAGCAATAGTTCATTTGCTGTGTAGTATTCCTTATCCATTCTACCCGTGGTGAACATTTGGGTTGTTTCCAGCCTTTTTATGAACATTCCTGTATATATTTGGTGAACATGTGTATGCTTTTCAGTTGGTTAATATACAGAGTAGTGAAATTCCTGGGTTATGGTGTTTGTCTGTTTTCAACCTTTACATTTAATGCCAAATAGTGTCCCAAAATAGTTGTACCACTTCACACTCACCAGCAGTGGATGAGTGTTTAGTTGTGCCACATGCCTGCCAACTCTTGATATTGTCATTCTTTTTAATTTTTGCTGTTCCTGTGGGTATATAATATCTTACTGTGGTTTTAATTTTAGTTTTCCTGATTACTAATGAGGCTGAGCATTTGCTCATATGTTAATTTACCATTTGATTATCTTCTATAGTGAAGTGTTTGTTCAAATCTTTTGCCCATTTTTCTATTGGGTTGTCTTTTTCTTACTAATTTGAAACAGTTCTTTAAATATTCTGGTTATCAGCCCTTGGTTATATATGTGGGAAATATTTTCTCTCACACTGGTTTGACTTTTCAGTCTCTTAATGGTGTCTTCTGGTGAATGGAAGTTCTGAATTTTAATGTAGTCCAAGTTTTCAGTCTTTTCCTTTATGGTTGTTGCAGTTTATATCCAGTTTAAGAACTGTTTCCCTATCCCAAGGCTGTAAAGATATTCTCCTATATTTTAAAAGCTTTGTTTACCTCCTAATTTATATCTACAATCTAAATTGGAAACTAATTTTTTTCTGTGGTGTGAGATAAAGGTCAAGTTCATTTTATTCTATCCAGTCAACTCAGCACTATTTATTGAAAACACTATCCTTTCCCCGTTTCTCTGCAGTGCCGTCTTTTTCATAAATTATGAAGGGAAATATTCAAATTGCAGCCAAATTATTTGGATAAATTGAATTATCATAGATTTACAGTATGTTAAATCTGCCATTTAAGAGATCTGTACCGAAACCAATCAAGACAAATGATCATCTTACTTCTCTCAAGTCTTAAAGAATGGAGACTTCGTATCTCTTATCTTTTGAGTTAAATTTGACCTAATATTTGTCCGGATTCTTCTGATGTGATTTAAGTAATTTTATTAATGTGGATATCAAGTTTGTTCACTTTTACTAATACACTTTGAAGATAAAGTTGTTTTTTTGTTTTGTTTTGTTCTCAGTTCTTTTCAAGCAGAGCAATCGTAACGCTTTTATAATAACCTGACTTTAGGTAAGGCCTTATACTATACGGAAGATTTTAGATTGAGCAGGGTACTTGTATATCATTTATTTTATTTGCTCATTCACTGAGGTGTCTAAAGCTCTGGAATTAACTAAAAATTGAATATCATACACTCCTGTTGGAAGCAACAAGTGTGACTACAAGCCATGACCCTACCCTTGCCTATGCTAGGAAACAGCCCACTGTTTCCCTATTAGGAATGGAGGCTTATGGGCAACGATTCTATCCGTTCATTTACTCCTGTCCCCTCCAGATTTCTCCTTGCTGGAAGGGAGCAATGGAACTGAAACAGTTTAACTTTCATCAATTTTTTTTTTTTTTTTTTAGAGTCCCTGAAAGTCTGCATTTATTTACCAAATACCTAACATTTATTATTTATCATGGGGGGTGTATAAAAATAAATAAGACTTGGTTCCCATCCTCAAGGAATATAAAGCAGGGAACAAAGTAGAATAGCTTATTTAGTTAAGCTGCACATCTTTAAGAAGTGGAAAGGTACTGGCTTTTCCTTAGGTCTTTCTGATACAGTTAACTATTTAGACAGAGGGAGGAGGAAGCGGGTGAGAGGTTTGTTCTTTTTCCCGCAGTGGGTAGCTCATTGATTAGACTAAAAGCCTAGCAAATAATTCCTCAGACATTTATTGTGAAACTAATAAGTTTATAGCTCTGTACTTACCCCATGGTATTTCTGTAGTGTACTTCCTGATGGCCATCTGTATTTTTCAGTATAGAAAACTCTGCATAATGGCTATGCAGATGCAACTTGAAGCAAATGCAGATACTTCAGTGGAAGAAGAAAGCTTTGGCCCACAACCTATTTCACGGTTAGAGGTATGTGTTTAGTTGATGATTTTGGAATCATAATGCTGGGCTAGAGTCTACCCAGTGGAGGAATCAGCCTGTATATAAACCGTTGGTTTCCTACCTAAGGTCAAAACCCAAATCTGTTTTCAGGAGGATTGTCAAGGATCCTGTGGAAAGGTTTAAGATAGGATCTAAACTATCTGGCTAAGCCTCTTCTTTTGTCAGCAATTCTCCTACTTTATCGTTTTTCTTTCTCAGAGCTTGACTGTCAGAAACCAAGAAGTCCTGGGATCCCAGAGTGGAGCCTCTGCTGTTTGCACTAAGTATAAAAGTGCTGTTCAGGGAATCCCAGTGGCCTTGGCCAACTCTGTAAGAAGAAGAGGAGAATGACATTCCTCCATTGACCCAGATCTTTGCTCAAGCTCGTAGCAAGACAGCTGTCACAGGCAGGGAGAAGCACATGGTGTTGTAAAGGGGAAAAAAGCTAAGCTCCAATCCAAGATTCTGCACAAGAACATGAAGCTCCAGAGCTGGGGTCTCGTACTGTTTCTGTCCATTTTTTACAGAGGTCTCAATATGCGTGTGGCTGACTTGGGCTGAAAGATATGGGAGGGAAAGTAGAAAAAAACTTAGATTCTTCCAGTCTCTTTATGTTCAGAGTCATAACTTTTGGTACCACGAGCAACCTTATAGCCACACACGTGTATTCCTTGTTGTTAAACATGCTCTGCTGGAATAGCAGGCGAGGGTGGTTACTATAGGCAGATACTATTTTCCCTCTCCCAAACCCTCCCCGACTTCCAAATGCATGGTCATGGTTTCAATGGCTACTAAACCAAAGCTGACCTTGTATGTAATGAGAAAGAGGTGCCCTTGAGTGGTATGAGTAATTTAAAGCAGAGCTTCTGGGTCATTGTACTACAGAAGGGTTATTTGATATGCCAAGATAACAATCCCCTCAGCTCTGACTGGGGCAGGCTTATCTGTTTACCCCAGCATAGGGTAAAAATATCATCTTCTATATGCACTTCATGTGTAAAATGTTGGGAAACACTGGATTTAAGTCCCTTTTAGGGCCCAGGGTCTCAAAGCTCATTCAGATTCACAGCCATAAAAGGTTGAGAGTTACAGGTTTAATCCCAGTGCACAGTAAGAGTCCGTTTTAAATATACATGGCTAGAACTGCCCAATAGGGTTTCCAAGGATATAATCTTTCTGGAAGCACATTGCCACATCCTTCTCCCACAGAGCGGCTGGTGGAATTTGTTACTAAATATCTCATATATAGGGTACACTTTTCAAAGTCTTTGCATATGTCACATTTCTTCAAAACAACTCTGTGTAGTAGGTAGGACAAATATTATCCCCATCTGACAGATGAGAGAACTGAAGCTTAAATTAATCAATGGTATTCTTCCCTTGCAGCAATGTGGCATAAATGCCAATGATGTGAAGAAATTGGAAGAAGCTGGATTCCATACTGTTGAGGCTGTTGCCTATGCACCAAAGAAGGAGCTAATAAATATTAAAGGGATTAGTGAAGCCAAAGCTGATAAAATTCTGGTAAGTACAGCTTATGTGTTGGGAGGCATTAGTGGGAATAATACCAAAGAGTTTACAGTGAAAGGTGGTCCTCCTTCCTTCATCGGTCATTCTCTTGCCATCCTGTTCCCCTTTGCAGAAGCAGCTGCAGCCACTGGCTTATTATCTTTGTATGTACCTCTTTGCATAAATTCACATTTTCTCTACGGAATTACAGTATCATGGGGTATAATATAAATACTGCCAAACTGATTACTAGTTAACACTCCTACCAGCAGTGAGTGATGCGTATCTTATCTTTCTAGATATTATGATCTCATACCTTAGAAATATATTCATTATGTAACCACTAAAAACAGTTTAGAAGAATATTTTTTACATACAGGAATGCTCCTAATACAGGAAAGCAGGTTAACTATCTGTCTGTCTGTCTGTCTGTGGCTTGATTTTGTTTTAAAAAGTGTGTGTGGGAAAATGATATAGCACCTCCTTAAAAAGCTAGAAATAGAAATACCATACAATCCAGCAATCCCACCCCTAGGAATATATCCTAGAGAAATAAGAGCCGTCACATGAATAGACATATGTACTCCTGTGTGTTCATTGCAGCATTATTCACAATAGCAAAAAGATGGAAACAACCTAAGTGCCCATCAACAGATGGATGGATAAACAAATTATGGTGCATACACATGATGGAATACTATGCAATGATAAACAACAATGATGAATCTGTGAAACATCTCACAACATGGGTGAATCTGGAGGGCTTTCTGCTGAGTGAAATAAGTCAATCACAAAAGGACAAATATTGTATGAGACCATTATTATAAAAACCCAATAAAAGGTTTACACACAGAAAAAAACAATCTTTGATGGTTATATAGGGGAGGGGAGGGATGAAGAGGAGGAATCACTAACTAGATAGTAGACAATTGTTAACTTTGGTGAAGGGAAAGACAACACACAATACAGGTATTTTTGTTTTCTAATTTTCATTAGTCTTCACTCATCCTGAGGACTAGTAGAAGTTATAGAAAGAGATCACAGAAGAGAAAAGGGAAGAAATTATCAAAGAAATAATATAACAAAATTTCCCAGAGCTGAAAGGAAGTAGAGTCTTAAAGAGGAAGAGCCCACAGATACACTGACAGAGAACTCCGAAAAGGAAATCAGAAAACAGTACCATTTACAATAGCCCTCAAAAAGATAAGACATTTAGTAATAAATCTAACCAGGGATGTAAAAGACTTATACAAATAAAACTACAAAACACTACTGCAAGAAACCAAAAGAGACCTACATAAATGCAAAAACATACCATGCTCATGGATAGGAGGACTTAACATTGTAAAAATGTCAGTATTACCCAAAGCGATCTACAAATACAATGCAATCCTGATCCCAAATTCCAACAACATTCTTTAATGAGATGGAAAAACTCACCAACTTTATATGGAAAAGAAAGAGGCCCTGGATTAGCAAAGCATTACTGAAGAAGAACAAAGTAATGGCCTCACACTCCCTGATCTCAGAACCTGCTATACTGCCGTGGTAGTCAAAACCACCTGGTACTGGTATGACGACAGACACATAGACCAAAGGAACAGAATTGAGAACCCAGAAGTAAATCCATCCACCTATTGACAGCTAATCTTGGACAAAGGGTCAAAGTTCATTAAATGGGAAAGAGAAAATCTCTTTAACAAATGCTGCTGGCAAAACTGTATATCTAGGTGCATAAAAATGAAACAAGATCCATACCTCACACCATACACAAAAACTATAAATGGATCAAAGACTTACATGTAAAACCTTAAACTATAAAGGTCACGGAAGAAAAAATAGGGACAATGCTAGGGACCCTAATATATGGCATAAATAGAATAGCAAATATAACTAAAAATGTACAAGCAGCAGAAGATAAACTAGGTAACTGGGATCGCCTAAAAATTAAATGCTTATGCTCACCAAAAGAGTGAAAAAGAACCTACAGACTGGGAAAAAAATTTTGGCTATGACATACCTGACAAGGGCTAATCTCTAGAATTTATGGAAAAGTTCAACATCTCAACAACAAAAAGACAACCCAGTTAAAAAACGGGCAAAGGACATGAATAGACACTTCGCCACAGAAGACATTCAAGTGGCTAAAACACATGAAGAGATGCTCATGATATTAGCCATTAGAGAAAAGCAAATAAAAAATACAACAAGATACCATCTCACCACAGTAATAATGGCATTGATCAAAAAAGCAGAAAACAAATGCTGACAAGATTGTGGGGAGATTGGAACTCATACACTACTGGTGGGAGTGTAAAATGGTACAACCGCTATGGGAAATGGTATGGCACTTCCTTGAGCTAGAAATAGAAATACCATGTGACCCAGCAATCCCACTCCTAGGTATATATCCTAGGGAAATAAGAGCCATGAAAAGAATAGATGTATGCACACCTTATTCATTGCAGTATTATTCACAATAGCAAAAAGATGGAAACAACCTAAGTGCCCCTCAACGGATAAATGGATGAACAAACTATGGTACATACACACAATGGAGTACTACACAACGGTAAAGAATAATGATGCATCCTTGAAACATCTCATAACATGGATGAATCTGGAAGACATTATGCTAAGTGAAATAAGTTGATCACAAAAGTACAAATACTGTGTGAGACCACTATTATAAATAGTCAAGAAAAGGTTTATTCACAGAAAGAAACATTTTTTGATGGTTACTAGGGATGGTGGGGGAGGGAAAATTACTAACTAGAGAGTAGACGTGTTGATTTTGGTGAAGGGAAGGGCAATACACAACATGGAGGAAGTCAGCACACCACCACCAAGGCAAGCGAATACACTGAGTTATGCAAAAATAAAAGATGATGACAGTAAATACTATAACATACAGTCCTGCAACAACGTTAATAACAAGCAGTAATTTATGAGTGGTTACATAGATAGGTATGGATGCCGAATAGGTGTGGGAGGGCGTACGGGAGTACACCTACATGCAAATAATAGGTTTGGCTGTGGATGTTTCTACATACACATTTGTATGTGCAACATGTATATTCATATATATAGTAGAGCACACAGAGAGCACAATCATGGAAACATCCTAGACATAACCAAACACCTCACAGGACTGAGTTACTGGGCTAGGAGACTAAGGATCATAGTCTTGGGGGACAGCCTCCATTAGCCTGAGACCAGAACTAAATGGTGCCCGGCCATCACTGCTGACCCTGGCAAGGATCACAATAGAAGATCCCATTCCATTAGAATGGGGGAAAAAGTAGAACAAAATTCAAATTCATAAAAAAGACCAGATTTACTGGTCTGAGAGTAAACTTGCTAAGTGGAGAGTAATTTACTAAAATTGGAACTGAGGCTTTCCTGGAGATCACCTTTTAGCCAAATAATAGACCCAGGTCTGTAAAATAAACAATAAAACCCTTGTGGAAAGTGCTCCTTAGAATAGTCATCTATATGAGACCAAAAGGGCAACATCTGCCCCAAAGCACAGATGAGAGGGCAGGAAGGGGCGGGGAGGAAAAACCGGACCAATGGAAGTGGGGAACTCGACAGTGGTAATGGGGAGAGTGCTGACACGTTGCAGTTATTGCAGCCATTATCACAGAACAATTTGTCTATAAACTATTGAATGGAAAACTAATTTGCTCTGTAAACCTTCACCTAAAGCACACTTTAAAAAAAAAAAAAAGCCCACAAAATGTCAAAGACCCATACCTAGACACATCAGTGTAAAATACAAAGCATAAAGAGAAGATTCTGAAAGATTTCAGAAAGAAAAAAATAGGTAACCTCTAAAGGAAGAAAAAATCAGAAAAGCAGCACATTTCTTATCAGAAGTGCTGAATGGTAGGAGTTAGTAGAGCAACACCTTTCAGGTTATGAGGGAAAATAGTTTTAAACCTAGAATTCTGTATGTAGCAACACTATTCATCAAGTATTAAAAAACCAGTTGCCGTCAAGTTGATTCCGACTCATGGCAATCCCATGTGGTGTCAGAGTCGAACTGTGCTCCATAGGGTTTTCAAAGACTGCTTTTTCGGAAATAGATCACCAGGGCTTTCTTCCAGGGCACCTCTGGGTGTACTTGAACCTCCAGGTTAGCAGCTGAACACATTAACCATTTGCACCACCCGGGAACTCATTAGAAGAGAATAAAAACATTTTCAGAAATGTAAGAATTCAGGTTTTCCTCTCAATCACTTTCTTAGAAAGTTGCTTGAGGATATACTTTATCAAAATGAGGGATTGCTAGGATCAAGTTTACAGTGGCTCCAGCGTGGGATCTCAGTTAAGGCAGGCCCAGGACAATAGCTGGCCTTAGAGAGCTGACAGCCCAGTTTAGAGAGTAAAGGAGATCTTTAGTGGGAAAGGGGATCCAGTAGAATACATAGTAAGATTGAGAGGTTGGAAATGCTAGAAAGACATGGTTCAGATATGAAGCAAGGGAAAATGGGGCATGATTTTGAAACTGGTGGCATATAAAAAAAATAATTCATTTGGATTTGTTGGTAAGAAACCTTTGAGAGGCGTAGGGTTGGTAACATTGGAACTTTAGAGAAGGAATTGTATTTCTAGCATATGATGTGGTTCTGCAATGAATTATATTTACAAAGCTATAATGTGAACATTGTAATGAATTTTCAAGCAAGAGTATTAAGTATATAGAAAAGTTAGAGCATAATACAAACCCTCTGCTCAGCTGTTCATTGGTGTTTTTTTTCTTTGTGAGTTAACTACTACTTCAGTCTCTTTATTTGATATAGATCTATTCTGATTTTCCTTTTCTTCTTGAGTCAGTTTGTGATTTCCCAGGAATTTGTCCATTTCACTCAAGTTATCTAGTTTGTTGGCATATTAAATTAAGATGCTCTTAATTTCTGTAAGGTTGGTAGTAACATCCCCTCCTTCCTGCTTTCAGTGAGTTGAGTCTTTTCCCTTTTTCTCTTGGTCAGTCTAGCTGTAGATGTGTCAGTGTGTTGATCTCTTCATAGAACCAGCTTTTGGTTCATTGATTTTCTCAGTTATTTTCTAATTGTTATTGTTATTTCCTTCCTTCTGCTTGCTTTATGTTTAGTTTGTTCTTCTTTTTCCTGTCTCTTAAGGTGGGAGGTTAGGTTATTGATTTGCAATCTTTCTTTTCTAATATAAGTGTTTACAGATACAGATTTTTCTGTAAGCACTGCTTTTGCAGGATTCTGTAAGTTTTATATGTTATGTCTTCGTGCTCATTCATTTCCAAGTATTTCCTAATTTCCCTTGTGATTTCTTCTTTGATTATTATTGTTATTATTCTTTTATGATTTCTTTATTGGTTATTTAGGAATCTGTTTAATTTTCACATATTTGTGAATATTCATGTTTTAATTTTATTCATATTTTTAAAAACATTTTACTATTGGAGAGTTCAAATATGCAAAAGTAGAGAAATTAGTGTAATGAATCCCCATGAACTCATCGTAAAGCTTCAGTAATTATCAGCTCGTGGCAGTTTCTTTTTTCTAGTGTTCTGTAAGGTTTTTTTAATTTTATATATAACACAAAAATTGCCGTTTTTTAATTGCCGATTTTTAAGTGTACATTTCAGTGGCATTAATTACATGTGCCACATTGTGCAAACGTCACCACTGTCTATTTCCCAAGATAATTCATCACCCCAAACAGAAACTCAGAACCCCTTAAGCAGCGTTCAGATTTTTAAATTAACCTATAGCGCGATCATGGAAGACTTATTAATGATTATAAAATCAGATGTAAATGTTTTCAACCTTGACAATGTAAAAGAAAAGGTGCAGCTCACAGAGATGGGAAGGTAGATGTAGGGGGAGAAAAGCTACAAGGGCAATTGTCCTCATTTTATAAAGTAGAAAGTTAAAGGATACAGTCCGTGGTTGGTGGGACAGGAAATGGAAACTTAAATATGCTGTTGAACTTTGCACTGTATTGCCATCTTTGTCATAAATCAGGTGACGTATATATGTGTGGGTCTGTAATCTTTTTTTTTTTTTAAACTATGCAGATGTGTGGCTTGAACTGACAATTAAAACTTTAATGTTCGTGGAGTCTGGAAATTGGTTGATTCTTTAATTGCTAGAGACATAAAACAGTCCCTGAACTAGAACTACTAGTATTCTGATGACTTTTATAAGAGAAATTATTCTGGAAATTTTGTTAGATGCTGTCTCCTTCCATTGTATGCCAAGTTCTTGTTTTATTAAGCCTATTATTTTGTTGATTTAACATTTCTTATTTTTCCCAGACAGAGGCAGCTAAATTAGTTCCAATGGGTTTCACTACTGCAACTGAATTCCACCAAAGGCGGTCAGAGATCATACAGATTACTACTGGCTCCAAAGAGCTTGACAAACTACTTCAAGGTGTCGTAATTCCTTATCCTATGTTGTAAACTCCAGTTAGGAAAGGATCCAGAACATAGAAGAAAACTAAAGTATTTGGGTAGGATATATGTGTTAGATATAATTAAGAGATAGGGAAAGTATCCACACTGAATAAGTAAAAGTGCTAGAAGGTAGGATGTGGTGTATAAAATATATATATATAAAGTTATCTACAAATTAAATAATCCTTATTTAATATGCTTTTGGAGAGTCAGCTTCCTCTGCCTGAGGAAATAACCATAATTATAACCTACTCTACCACAAGGTTGAAAATCTGGCAAGTGGTTAAAACACTTCATGATTAAATCTTATTCATTATAGGAGTATACACTAATCTTCAAGACTTGAAGGAAAGCTGTCAAGTTTTTGAACTTTCTGAAAGGATTGCTGTCCTAAATTTTTGTAAAGTTTGACTCTTGCTGCTCCTCCAAATATTTCATCATTCAGGTTTTCTTTTTTTAGGGCGCATAATAGCATAGGTTCAGGAATCAGACCCAAATATGAGTATTAGCCCCCACTTCCTAGCATTTACTGGCTATATCACGTGGGGTACATTACTTAATATCTTTAGGCCTAAGTTTTCTCATTTTCAAAACAAGAATTAAAAAGACTTCCTATATATATATAGGTTATTGGAGTTAAATGAAATGGTACATATAAATGTATAACACGATGCTAGGTACATAAGAAACATTTAGTAAATGTTAGATGAAGTTATTACATATCTTTGTGTATGTATAAAATATTTTTTTTAAATGGCTGCTTGTTGGCTCATGATGGTACAGTTCTGTATCTTGATTATGGTGTTAGTTACATGAAGCTACCAAAAACCAAACCCATTGCAGTCAAGTCAATTCTGACTCATAGCAATCCTATGGGACAGAGTAGAACTGCCCTAAGGCTATAAATCTTTACGGAAGCAGACCGCCACATCTTTCTCCCTTGGAGCGACTGGTGGGTTCAAACTGCCGACCTTTCAGTTAGCAGCCGAACACTTAACCACTGAGCCACCAGGGCTCCTTACGTGAAGCTCTACATGTGATAAAATTGTTTAGAACTATACACACATGCACGCACACCAAATTAGTGTGTGTATAACTTCAGAAATCTGAGTAAGTTCTGTGGATTGTACCAATGTCAGTTTCCTGGTAGAAATACTGTATTATAGTTATACAAGATGTTAATATTGGGGGAGGCTGGGAGAAGAGTACATGGGACCACCCTGTACATTTTTTTGCAATTTCCTATAAATCTATAATTATTTCAAAATATAAGTCTTTTAAATTACCTCTTGTTGAAAATTGGATTTCCCAATTATGTATACATGTTTTTGATGAGCACAAGGACATTTCTATGATCATAGCTTATAAACATTTGTATCGTGCTAAGAAGTGTTAAGAAGTGTTTCTTATTGCTCTGTTAGGTGGAATTGAGACTGGATCCATCACGGAGATGTTTGGAGAATTTCGAACTGGGAAGACCCAGATCTGTCATACGCTGGCTGTTACATGTCAGGTGAGCTGTTGGGTTCTGGCTAATCAAGTCAGCAAGAATTATTTGATTCCTGCTATTTTCAAGTTATTCTACAAACATCTGTGGGGAGGGACAGAAAAGGTACTTTCTCTATCCTCAAGAATTCTGTAACTAGTTAGAAGATAGACTTCTACTTCAGAATTCTTCCATATCGTGGAAACTTTTAGACCATTGATTTCAAATCCTTTGTTAACATTCACTAGGCCTCTCCAGCCTAGATTTATCTCTTATCTAGCCTAGATTTTATGATTCGTCATTAAAATCATTCCTTTACAAATGCTCTCACTGTACATCCCCCACCTGAAGAGACACCAGCTTTAGATAAACCCCATCTGTCTTCTTGGTGCCTGTGCCCAAACAGCTGATCATACTGGAGAAATATCATACCATAAAGCTGACTGGCGTCACTTTAAATTCAAGATGACAAAGGTTTTTTGTTTGTTTGTTTGTTTGTTTTAATAATAGTAATCAAATCATTGTGTGTGTTTGTGTGTGTGCTGTAGGTGCAAGTTTACAGAGCAAGCTAGTTTCTCATTAAACAATTAATACACAAATTGTTTTGTGACGTTGGTTGCCAACCCAGCAATGTGTAAACACTCTCCCTTCTCTGCCTCGGGTTCCCTGTTTCCATTCGTCCTGTTTTCTTGTCCCTTCCTGCCTTCTTGTGTTTGCTTTTGGACTGGTGTGCCCATTAGTCTCCTTTGCATGAATTGAACTATGAGACTCATTCCACATGTGTGTTATTGTTGGTGCTATAGACCTGTCTGATTTTTGGCTGAAGGGTGAACCTCAGGAGTGACTTCAGTACTGAGTTAAAAGGGTATTCGGGGGCTATGCTCTCAGGGTTTCTCCAGTCTCTGTCAGACCAGCAAGCCTTGTCTTTTTTGTGTGAATCTGAATTTTGTTCTACACTTTTTCCTGCTCTGCCTGGGACCCTCTATTGTGATCCCTGTCAGAGCCGTCGGTGATGGTAGCCGGGCACCATCTGGTTGTTCTGGGCTCAGTCTGGTGGACGTTGTGGTAGTTGTGCTCCATCAGTCCTTTGGACTAATCTTTCCCTCGTGTCTCTGGTCTTCCTCATTCTCGTTTGCTTCAGCCAGGTGGGACTAGTAGATGTATCTTAGATGGCCGCTTGCAAGCTTTTAAGACCCCAGACGCTACTCACCACAGTCAAGTTGACAAACTTCAGGTTAGCCTTCCATACTGCCTGACAAGTCTCCTGAGTTTCTCCATTTAGGCGTGCTTTCCCACTTAATAAGACAACTGTCTCATACTTTGCCCTCTCTCCTCAAGGCTTCCATGCTCCTCCTCAAACCTCTTTCTCAGCCAGTGACTTAACCTGTTCTTCACATCAGATCTTTAATCCACTTGTGTTTGCACCCATCTCTTTATCTCGGGTTACAATGGAGAAAGTATGCCTTTTCCTCTCAAAGTCCAGTCCTACTACTAATGGTCTGGTTATCATCTCCTGCCTCCTTTTCAACGACTCTATTCCTTCCGTTTTCTACTCTACCTCTCTGTTAGATTGCCCTTGTCAGTATAGCAACCTGCCTAGTATCTCCTCCAATAGAGGAAACCCTGCCTGGACCCCTTCAGCTCCCTCTTCTGTTACTGTGCTCCCATTTGTGGTCAGACTTGGAAACTGAGACACAGTGGGTTAAGTCATTGCCCAAGATCATACAGCATTTAGTAGATCCCGGAGTCAAAGCAGATGACAGAGCCTTAAAACCTTTTAAAAGGGTAGAACCTATAGCTGGCTTGTTCTCTGCTGTATTATGCGAGCCTAGTCAGTGCTTGCCACTCAGTAAGCACTCAATAAATACTTGAATGGATGTCTTCACTTCAGAATAAGGAAGTTTAGACTTGAGTCTGTAAAGAGTGACCAAAATGTCACCATATGTTAGATAGCAAGGTTGGCATTCCAGTAACGTAGACCTGACACATTGTTGGCTCTTCTTACGGATACCTTAAGGAGGAGAGAGTTGGGGTTGGGAGGTGGAAGAACTTTTAGGATAATAAAGAGGGAGGTGTTGAAAAGGGAAGCGCAGTTCTATGCCGCGGGAGCTGTAGCTATTGACTGACGCCATTAGATTGATGGCTAAAGGGAAATGAGACTGTTCAAAATCCCACCCTGACATGGGCCATTTGGCGTGATGTGTGGCCTTTTTAAACAGAAATGTTTTCCCATGTTGCTTTGACAGATTCCTGTGGAATAAATATTTAGAGTACAGTACACAATATCCAAGTTGCCTTGGTAACTCAGTATATTATGCTGACGCTATGAAATTGTTCAAACAGAATCCTAGCCTGGGAATGTTTATTAATGCCTGTTCATAATGCCTGTCAACAATAAACTAAAGCAAAAGTCTCAAATAAGCATATCCTCTCTGTAAAAATAACTAAACATCATACGTGACTAAACAATTTCAGATCTTTGATAGTTTTTTTCAAAGGAAAAGAATGCTAATTCATTAATAAAGGAAGTGGTTACATTTCACCAGCCTGAGAACTGGGACCACAGGTATAGAGAGGATGCTGGATTACTAAACACTGTCTGCTCTCGTTGTTCAGATTTTCTCAGCTTAGTGAAATGGAACCTTACACGGTGTTGGGTTGCTACCTGATAGTGAAGCTAGGTAAAGTGAGAGCTACAGTTGGGTTATTAAAATGAATATCTTATGCTCGCTCATAGCGTTAGAGTAATTTAAAAATTCTGAGAAGACGATTTAACACATCCAGTTTTAAAGGCACATGCCCTTTGACCAGCAGTTTTGTCTTACAGAAGGTTTTACTTATGCTCAGGCATAGATGTATGAAGACTTTACACCATGGCATTATTAAATGGGTGAAAGTTAAAAACAACCTACATCACTGTAAAATAGGAAGAAGAGTTAAATTACAAAGCAGCTAGTTCAAACAGCTAACTTGGTGACATCCCGGCCCAATGCACAGGTGGCTGCAGTGGCACTGAGAGGGCAAGAATTCTATTTGTATTCCTAAACTTTTTTTTCTTTTTCTTTTTTAACTCTCCATTCCCCTTTCCCCCCTGCCTCAGGTAACCACTGGACTCATATATTTGTTCTTTTGTGTCTGGCTTATTTCACGTAACATAAAGTTTTCAAGGTTCATCCATATGGTGGCATGTATCAGAACTTCATTCTTATTTATAGCTGAATAACATTCCATTGTGTGTTTCTACCACATTTTGTTTATCCACTTAACTGTTAATGGGCACTTGGGTTGTTTCCACCTTTTGGCTATTGTGAATAATGCTGCAGTGAACATTGGTGTACATGTGTGCTTGAATTTTTAATACACGCATATAGTACTTTTGTAATTTTGAAAAAAAATTTTGTCAAAGATAGGAAAAGAAAAACTTTAGTGCTATGAGGCCCTTAATATGGAATGTTCTAATGGAATTTCCTCAAAATTTAAAGTGAATCATAGCTACAAAGTAGAATTCTAGGATGGAAGCTACCCTTTAGCATTATTTACTTCAAATCTGTAGAACTCATAAGTGTCTGGCATGGAATGGAGAACCTAAAACATTTCCCCAAGTGGCTCAAGAGACAGTTTTTATGGCATTCCATATTCCTTCCTCTCCTTTCCTTTTTCCTTTTTTCTATTCTTACTTTCTACTATTTTTCCTTTCTCTCTCTTTGTTCTTTTAACATCTATATGTACTACTAGACCAAACACTTGTTCTCTTCTTTTTTGCTCCCACTTTTTCATTGTACTTTAGAAGGTTTACAGAGTAAATTAGTTTCTCATTAAACAATGAATACGCATATTGTTTTGTGGCATTGGTTGCCAAGCCCATGACGTGTCAATACTCTCCCCTTCTCGACCTTGGGTACTCATACTTTAAACTTGTTAGAGATGCCCCTGGGACATTGCCCAGCCCCTTTAATGACCCTCGGAAATGAACTCTGCTCAGGAAATTGAAGTATAAGTTTTGGTGTGGACATGGGTATTGGATCAGGTTCCCTTATTGATTAAAGCTAAAGTAAATTGCCCAAATGTTTTTACTCTTGAGAGAATTGCTCAGTCAGTTTTGTGCTGGTATACGGTCACAAAATTTTATTACCTACTTGGGATTATATTTCCAAGCACCCCGACTCTGGGGACGACACTAGCCTTATATGCTAGGGGACACAATGAGCTTCACCTCTGCTAGCTGTATTTCTATCAAAAGGGAATGCCTTCTCTCTACCTCTTACTGTCATTTTAAACTTTTTCCTTTTATGTGTTCCTGCCACAGGGAACTTGGTTAATTATATCAGAAATACAGTTTCATTTTCCCTTTTTTTTTTTTTCTGATTCTCTCTAGCTTCCTATTGACCGGGGTGGAGGTGAAGGAAAGGCCATGTACATTGACACCGAGGGTACCTTTAGGCCAGAACGGCTGCTGGCAGTGGCTGAGAGGTAGGTTACTGGATTTGATGGGAGGAAATGTGGCTGCAACTGTCACTGTAGTGATTGCCAGGGTTCGTTTGGCTGAAGAGTACCTGTTCCTCACTTACTGTCCCACATCTGTTCTTCCCAAAGCTGTCTGTGTGGTTCAGAAGAATACCTTCCTTAGTGGAGAAGAGCATCTTCTTTAGTCAAGAGTTTATGAATTGCTGTCATACTCGATAAAAAACCAGATCCAACTATATGGTATCTTCCAGAGAAGCACTTTAGATTCAAAGACAGAAATAGATTGAAAGTAAAGGGGCAGAAAAAGATAGCCCGGACAAACAGTAATCTTAAGAGAGCTGGAGTGACTAATACCAGGCAAAATACACCTTAAAACAAAAAAAATTGCTAAAAACAAAGAGGGACATTTTATAATAAAAAGCAATTCATTATGAAGTTGCAACAATTACAAACATATACACACCTAACAACAAAGCCCCCAAAACAAAAACTGACAGAACTGGAAGGAGCAATAGACAATTCAGCAATATTGTTGTTGTTGGGTGCTGTAGAGTTGATTCTAACCCTAGCAACCCTATAGAACAGAGTAGATCTGCCCTATAGGGTTTCCAAGGAGCGGTTGGTGGATTCTAACTGCTAACCTTTTGGTTAGCAGCCAAGCTCTTAACCACTGTGCCAGCAGGGCTCCAATTCTGCAATAGTAGTTGAAAATTTGAAATCTCACTCTCATTAATGGATAGAACAACTAGGCAGAATATCAGCAAGGATATCCATACTATCCATCAGCTTAATTGGCATAGAACACTCCCCCTACAACAGTGTAATAGACGTTCTTCTCAAGCACACATTGAACATTCTCCAGAATAGATCATACGCTGGGCGACAAGCTACTTCCCAATAAAATTAAAAGGATTGATATCATACAAAGCATGTTCTCTGACAACAATGGAATTAAATTAGAGATCCACATAGAAAGAAATCTGAGAAGCCAGCAAATATTTGGAAATGGGGTTACACACATGACCAAGTGGGATTTATCATAGAAATGCAAGATTGGTTTAACATCCAAAAATCAATCGACGTAATACACCATATTAATGACTAAACAACACACACCTCAATAGATGCAGCAAAAGCATTCGATAAAATACAAAACTATTCATGATAAAAACCCAGCAAACTAGGAATAAAAGGAAGCTTTCTCAACCTGATAAAGGACATCTACAGAAACCCCAGCGCTAACATACTTAGTGGTTGATGCCTAAATGTCTTTTCCATAAGATCCGAAATAAGGCAAGGGTGTCCAGTGTCTCCACGTACATTTAACAGTGTCCTGAAGGTCCCAGCCAGTGCAGTCAGGCAGGAAAATGAAATAAAAAGCATCCAGATTAGAAAGGAAAAATTGTAAAACTGTCTTTATTTCACAGATGACATGATCCTGTATGTAGAAAATCCTAAGGAGTCCATTAAAACAAGTTCAGGATTGATACAATATCAATATGTAAAAATCAATTATATTTCTGTATATAGCAGTGAACAACTTGAAAATAAAATTAAGAAAACCGTTCCATTCGCAATAGTATCAGAAAGAATAAAATACTTAGGAATAAATTTAATAAAGGAAGTACAAAACTTGTACTTTGAAAACTACAAAACATTGCTGAGAGAAAGTAAAGAAGACCTAAATAAATAGAGAAACATTCCACCTTCATGGATTGGAAGACTATATTAACATGGCAGTTCGCTCCAATTTGATCTATAGATTCAACACAATCTTGTCAATATTTCAGCTAAGTTTTTCTGCAGAAATTAACAAGCTAATTTTAAAATGTTTTGAAATGCAAAGAACCTAGAATAGCCAGAATATTTTTTTTAAATTGTACATTAGGTGAAAGATTTCAGAGCAAATAAGTTTCCCAACCGATAGTTTGTACATAGTGTTCCATGACATTGATTTCATTTCCCACAATGTGTCAGCACGCTCCCCATTTCTGCCCTAGGTTCCCCGTTTCCTTTCGTCCTGATTTTCTTTCCCTTCCTGCCTTCTCTTCTTTGCTTTTGGGAAAATGTTGCCCCTTTGATCTCATATAATTGATTGTTTCAAGGAGCACATTCCTCTTGGGTGTTTATTTTATGGGCCTGTCTGTGGTTGGGCTGGAAGGTGGTTTTGGAGTGACTTCAGTTCCAGTTCAGAAGCGTGTCTGTCTTAGGGTCATAGACTCAGGGGAGTCAAAACATTCTTGAAAAAAAAGAACAAAGTTGGAGTTCTTTTTACACTTCTTGATTTTAAAACTTAGTTTAAAGCTACAGTAATCAAGATAGTGTGGTGCTGGTATAGGATAGACATAGATCAACGGAACAGAATTGAGAGTGTACTTATGGTCACTTGATTTTTGACAAAGGTGTCAAGGCAACTTAAGAGCGGAAAGAATAACCTTTTAACAGATGGTGCTAACGTAGGTGAATATCACATGAAAAAGATGAATTTAGATTCTTACCTCACACCATACACAAAAATGAACTCAAAATGGTTGATAGTCCTAAATATAAGAGCTAAAACTTGTAGAAGAAAACAACAATTAAAATATGACCAAAGGGTCTGAATAGACATTCCTCTAAGGAAGGCATACAAATGGCCAGTAAGTGTGTGAGAAGATGCTCAGCATCAGTCACCTGGGAATTGCAGATCAAAATAACCACAATGAGATGATCACTTCACACTGGCTAGAGTAGCTATTATAAAACAGAGGGACAATAACAAATGTTGTTGAGGTTGTGGAGAAGCTAGAACCCTCACACACTGCTAATGAGAATGTAAAATAGTATAGACACTTTGGAAAACAGCTGAGTAGTTTCTTTAAAATTTAAACAAATTCACCATATAACCCAGTAATTTCACTCTACTTATTTACCCAGGAGGAATGAAAACAGCCACACAGAGACTTGTACATGGGTGTTTATAGCGGTTCGAGTAATCAAAAACTGGAAATAACCCAAATATCCATCAGCTGGAGAATGGATAAACAAAATGTGGTTTGTCCATACAATAGAATAGTGTTCAACAATAAAAAGGAATAAAGTATTTATACATGTTAAAAGATGGATGAACTTCAAAAATATTATTCTAAGCGACATATTGTGTAATTCTATTTATATGAAATTTTCAGAAGAGGAAAATTTATAGGTTAATGGTTGCCTGGGACTAGGGGTAGAAATGGAAAGTGACTGTAAAAGGACATGCGAGATCTTTTTGGGAGGTGATGGAAATGTTCTAAACTTGGATTGTGGTGATGGTTGGACAGCTCTGCACATTTACTAAAAAAATCATTGAATTTTAGAACTAGAACAGGTGAATTTTACTGTATATAAATTATACCTCAGTAAAGTTTTAAAAAAAATATGTTTCTACATCTCCTAATATAGTTTCAAAGTAAGTTCTCAAAAATTGTTTCACTTGTTTTTCCCTTGTCAAAGGGTGATAATTTGGTCCCAACCACACATTTTAACTGAAACCTTGTGATTAAATAGAATTTTAGTTACATGTTGAGACATCACAGACTCAAGTTGGAACCTACCTGGATAGGCAGTTTGTAGAACACTAAGTTGAGGAGAGTATTCTTTCCATTTTTATAATCATATCAAAATCCTCTTTCCCAGTTTCCAGCTTGAGGAGTCCAAGCCATTGAATGTGTATGCACACCATTGAGACATAAGATCAGGTTGGAGCTATGATTACAGCATCGTGACCTTTTCCCTCTGCTTACAAAATCCCTGTCAAGGAAGAATTACTCTCTTGCAACCTGCTCTTGATTTTCTAAAGATGTGTATATGAACTGGACCCTCCCTTCGAAAGTAGTTTTTAGCAGTCATACGGAGATCACATTTTAAATACACTGTTTTAGTAGTCTAGAGGTTCCCTTTTAGACAGTCTTTAAATTTTGATCAATAACATAGAGTACTCAGATGTTCTCATATTAGGATAGATAAGATGGTAGAATGTAGGCCAGGAGGCCAGGGACTTTGTTTTGATTACCCACTGTATTCCCAAGCCCTACAACAATGCATTCCACATTTGTTAATGAATTAATATTTATTAACTAGCGCTATGTTTATGACTGCTTTGCCAACTAAAAGAAAAATGTGTTTTTATTTATCCATTCATTTTAATGATCTTTCAGTGACTCATTATTTTTGTTTCAGTCCCAGTTTTGTTGTGCTGCCCTTGGTCTTTCCAGGAGAATAACATTGTTTTCTTATGTCTGGAAGTTTCTTATTCTAGTTCAGGAGTCCTCAAAGCATAGTTTATCTTGCTGTCCTGCCAGGCAGATCTCCTCCATAGTAGTTGCTGCTGCTCTCTCTGTATATATAGTTTGCTGAACTTCTTAACAGGAAGGGGGTTATAGCCTTTGGCCTTGAAACTACTGTTAATACCACTTCTTACCCAGCCAGATAATTCCAGTGTTAGAGGTGAATTTCTCATCTGCCTGGGTTCCATGTCCAGCCTAAAAATGTTTTTTCCTGCCTTCTAGATATGGCCTCTCTGGCAGTGATGTCCTGGATAATGTAGCATATGCTCGAGGGTTCAACACAGACCACCAGACGCAGCTCCTTTATCAAGCATCAGCCATGATGGTGGAGTCCAGGTATGTGCTCAGTGGCAGGCACTGAACACGCTGCCAGGACCCTTACCCTGAATCTTGGATAAGCTGTTTGGCCAAACTGATAGTAGCTAGAATTAGAAATGGAGAGATTTACGTTTTAAGATTTTATTTTGACAATCTTGCTTTGTTGTTTAGATCAAGTCACTATTAAAACATTTGAACTTATTGGGAATCTTACTGTTGTGCATGGTGCTTCAGATGTGAATGCTATACAAAGATTCTTTTTAGTGGAACATCTATATACAAGTATAATTATGAATATGAGATTTTAGGGTGGTGAGGAAAAGAGCAGAATCTGACATAGGCTAGAAATCAGCTTCAGAGAATCCTTGTTCCCTGTAGGTATGCTCTGCTCATTGTAGACAGTGCCACGGCCCTCTACAGGACAGACTACTCTGGCCGAGGTGAACTCTCAGCCCGGCAGATGCACCTGGCCAGGTTTCTGCGGATGCTTCTGCGGCTTGCTGACGAGGTAAGCTGAGGGGGAAGGCTAGCAAATACCCACTTTCACCAGCCACAGGTACCAGGAGCCTTGCTGGGAAACCGGGGCATCAGGGCCTAGTATTATTGAGCTATCAGACAAGAAAGAAGAGAGATGTTAGTCGTTGATTTGTAGGGAAAGGGGGTGGCAGCAGCCAGGTCCTTGGAATGTTTGTGGCCGCAAACGTGGTATTACCCTTTCGCCCTCAGTTTGGTGTAGCAGTGGTAATCACTAACCAGGTGGTAGCCCAAGTGGATGGAGCAGCCATGTTTGCTGCAGATCCCAAGAAACCTATTGGAGGAAACATCATTGCCCATGCCTCGACAACCAGGTAAGCTGATGGCACAGATGAGTTCTTCTTGGAATGTCATGTTAACTGTGAAGTAAAGTAGGTATGAAAATACAGCATTTCCATTTAAACCCTGTTAAAGCTGTTGTCACATGTAATGAGGTACTTAGGAGCTATTGCTAAATCTCATTTTCCTGCTCCGGTTAGTGCGGGTGTTTGCCTCTAGATCATTCATAAAGTAGTTAAACTCATTGCCTTCAAGTAGTTCCAAGTCATAGCCACCCTATAGGACACAGTAAAACTGCCCCACAGGGTTCCCAAGGCTGTAAATCTTTACAGAAGCAGACTGCCACATCTTTCTCCCGTGGAGTGGCTGGTGGGTTCAAACCGCCAACCATTCAGTTAGCAGCTGAGCACTTAACCACTGCGCCACCAGGGCCCCTATAAGGTAGTTGAGAGCCTCAATATGGAAGAATAAATATGAATAATTTGTATGCCTCTCCTTGATTAAAAAACATTGCTTCAGTATTGGATAACCCACTGAGGGAGAGGGCAGGGCAGAAATGGATTCCTTCAGGTCGGAAGTGCCCTTATGCCTAAGGAATCCAGAGATCCCCCAGGGGCTCTAAGATGTATGTATTTGTTATTAAAAATTTTTTTAAAAAAGTAGATTTACCATAAGTCAAGTCAAGAATGGAATTTTAATTGTAATAACTTTGGTGCCTTGGCCTGTGTCTTTGAGTCAGACTGTACCTGAGGAAAGGAAGAGGAGAAACCAGAATCTGCAAAATCTATGACTCTCCCTGTCTTCCCGAGGCTGAAGCCATGTTTGCCATCAATGCAGATGGAGTGGGAGACGCCAAAGACTGAATCATTGGCTTCTTCCTGTTGTACCTTACGTGCTGCAGCCTCATGGAGAGGACTGTTCCCTGGGGTTCTTCACGGCCTTTCCTGCTGGGACTGCCAGGAAAAGGCTTCCGGGAAAACAGCGATTGTGTCGGCTTTTCTGAGGGGTAAACAGGATACAGGTCAGTAGTCACAAACTGATCTGACATGTTTATCCCTTCTGGGGTATATTAATCTCTGTGATTTCTTTGGTTTTTGGAAGGGAGATATGGATACTTTGATATCGTGCCTTGGAGTTGACCCTGGCCTAACAGCTGCCTACTGGACAGTCTAATGTTTTCAGGAGAACTAAAGCTGGGGAGACCCAACCCTTCCTTCTCAGAATAACGGTGAAATCAAACGCCTGAGCTGTGTGGCAAGGGAATGGGTCTCCTCACAGGTTCTTTTCCTCTGTCCATAGAACTCTCCGCTGTCGATTACAAGCAGGTGTTTTCAGTTTGTCTGTCTGGACTGGTTTTGGTTAAGGAGTCCTGAGCAGGCTGGGCTGCCAGCCCTTCAGTGTGTAAGACCAACTCAGGATGATTCTGGGCCCTTGAGTACTTCCGATTATCTAAGTAAACAGATTCAGTGTGAGGCTGGTGATAAAGTAGTTTCACGTGCAGTGAAGGTGCTATTTAGGAGTTACTCAAGATAGGGCCTCCGGAATAATTGTTTGGCACTGGCTAGGAGTAATGTTTCTATTGCTTTAAGATTTGAAAACCGGGTGGAAATAGAAGTATGCACGATTTAGGATCCTACATTCAGAGATTGTGCTTATAGTCTCTCAGCCTAATGGAGAGTATCCTAAAGTGGATGTACCATAGCTTTCCTGTGGCCTTTACGTTTATTCCAGAAGTCTTGTATTATAGAGGTCTGGTACTTGCCCTGATTATTCTACTTTAGGGGTTTGAGACACTCTTCTTCCTCCCCTTCACATTTCTACTTAGGATGGGTTTTAACTATCTTTACGAATTCCAGAAGGCTTCTCAGTTAGCACTGCGGGAGAGCAGCGAAAGTCTGCTGTGTCCGCCCGTGTTGGTCCCACTGTGTGCAGGGAGACAGAAGACCAGTCAGTATGAGCAGCTGTCCTGAAAGCAGTTCCTTAGAGGTTGAGTCAGGGACTGACATAAAAGTGGCCTTGTCACCACCCCTGGAAGCCAGGTACCAAATAAAGTTCGTACGACTGTCTCCTAAATCTCTGTCCTTTACCCCATCCCCCCATTTCCTTGTGTTGAGTTCTGCTGTCTTTGCTAGCTGGGGCTTGCAGGCCAGATCTCACCCAAAGCAACACGTGCTCAATCTAGATTTTAGACCCCAAATTTGTTTTCATCCTCAGAATCGGGAACATCTCAGGTGTTCTCTCATTTCTACACCACAAAACAAACCCAGGATGTCCTAACAAAGCCACAGTGATAGATTCTGCAGTGAAACTTGGTTCATGTATAAAAGCATCTCAACCTTACAGTACCGTATTTAAGTGATTCTGGCCTAGAAACTTGTCTCAGTTGTTCTTCTAGGTGAGGTTTTCTTCCTCGGGGGGCTCAGGCTTTGCGTTCTCAGCTCTGACTAAAGGTGAACGTGGGGGTGGGGAGCACCTGCTCGGCTGTAGTCGGCTTTGTTCCTTGGCTACAAACTACCGTCCCCCTGCCTGTCTTACACGTAACACTCAGATTTCCACTGGAAATAGTGTTAACTAAAGAGCTTATTCCAAACAAACACTAATTAATTATCTGGAGCCCTGTTTTTCTACTTGTATGCAACAGTCTTGCAGGAGGAAACAATTCTGGAAGTGTCAAGAATAAGGAGCTAATCACAGAAACAAACATAGAAAGGAGAATATAATTACTTCCAATCAAATTAGGTTTATTTCAAGTGTGTACCATAATACATTCCGGACAACTCTTCAGATCATTTCACAGTATCAAACCTTTGCCGTTGCTGTCATTCCAAAAGCTGCCAGGACTCTGGAGATCACATGGTGCGGCCCCTCAACCCAGGATAAAGTTAGAAATCCACATGATAGGTGGTAAGAGGGCAAAACTGTGGACTGCCCTGACCCCTTCCCTCACTCTGGTAAGACGGTATGATCTCAGACCACGCACACTGGTGCTGAATATCAGTCAGTGAAAAGGACTAGAGTTTAAGGTGTTCTGTGCTTTGCTCCTGTAGCTCTTTGAAGTTCACCTACCTCACCAGCAACTGAAAGCAGTGCTACTGCTTCCTTCTCTCAGTTCCAGTGGCCTTCAGGGGTCCACCCACGCTCAACCCTAGGGCAGGTGCGCAGGTGCCGTGCTAGTCTCAATCTTTCAAAAATTCACTTAAGGGTGAGAACAGAAACCTAGGCTTCAGCTACTCCCCCAATTTCAGATTAGGTAAAGGATTAGAGTAGATTAACTGGTGGACATCAGGCAAGAAACTGCAGCATGTTCGCAGGCAGCCCTCAGACCCAAGAGGCAGGACACTCCCTAAGCCAGTCTCGCTCCACTTCCTGAGCCAAGCAGGCCTAACAAAAAAGCCTTGATTTTCCCCCTGAAGTACACAGTGGTATCCTTCAAGTTGCAAAGGCCACTGGAATGCAATTATTCCCCTAAAACTACTTCCAATTCTTCTAGGTCCTTCTGGAAAGCTGAATCCTAAGGAGACAAAAGAGACAGAGAAGGCTAGAACTCAAAATCCTGAGCCAACATTTCCCAAACTACTGGTACCAGAGTCTCAGATCGGCCCATTGCCGATCTTTGTCCTACTTGCCCAGGACAGCTTGGAGCCCATGAGCTGTCTTCCCCCCGTATACAAAAGCGCCTGCATGCAAAAACAGAGACTTTCTTTCTAGGGAAACAAGACGTCACGGGAAGCTTTTCTTTCCTGAGCCACGGTGACTCAGTGATGGAACCCGTCGTAGAAAAGCTGCTAGGAGTACTGTTACCTCATTAGTGACACTTGGCAGCTCCTGCGCCAGCTTCACCCACTGTCGAGCTTCAGAGTTTTTTCCTAGTTCTCTGTAGCACTGAAAAGACATCACAGTGACAGCCTGGCAGAGGTAAACTAGGAGGCTGGGCAGGGGTGAGGATGGGTGCTTTTAGGAGTTGCCAGAAATTTCATTTATATATCTCCCAATCTGTCAGGATGGCAGGTGAGTTTACCTTAGAAATATATATCCTTCCTGCTTTGGAAAATCCTGGCTGTAGTTCTTCAACCTGGAGAATGGAGGAAGGTGTTTCAGTGAGAGATTCCCAAATTCAGGTCTGGCTGGAGCTAATTAAATAAAGATCTCCAGTCCCCAATCTGGAGACTTATTCAGCGGGTCTGGGATAGGGCCGGGGAATCTATTTTTTTTTTTTAAAGTTCTTCAGGTGATTCTGATTTTCCCACAAGAGCAAGCAAACACAAAACCTGCCAGGAACCCCTCCCACTAAGGGTCCCAGTCATGTCCTTAGGAGAAAGAAACAGGGTCACCCTGGTATTTTGGGCCAGTGTCCACCCTCCCTCCCTGGTACCTTCAGGAAGCTCTGCAGGGCATCCTGCACAGTGGCAGTGAGAGGGCTTTCCAACAAGGCAGTAGCAGTTTTTTTTTCTAGCCAGCTCAGGTGAGAGACCTGCCACCAGAAGATCAAGGTGTGAATGAAAAGCTTTAAGAAGTAACCACTGAAACATGGAATATTCTGTACTGGAAACAGGGTCAAACAGAGCTGGCTCCCAACCACCAATCAACACCAATACCACCGGCATCCAGAGAAATGGCATCTGAGCCAGGTGAGAGGGAGAGGAACCTGGGGACCCTGCTCTTGGCAAGGAGCTCAGTGTCACAGGACACTTAGAACCCTTATATCAAGCCCTGGGATGTAGCCCACCTGGTAGCACCACCTGCCCAGAAGAAAGTGAGCGCTGGGGTTTCCTGGCTGGAGAGCAATGGCCTTGTCCACATGCTCCTGAGGGAGAAAAATGTAAACACACTAACACCAGACACAAGAGTTGCTAAGGGAAGAGAGGCAAGTCACTGAGGCTGCAGGAACGCCCTCCTGAGGGAAGCTGGGAAGTAGCCAGCACATGGGACATGGAGAAGCCTTTCCTCACCTTGAAGCTAAAGCCAGTCTGGATGCGCCTCTGGATGCCCTCATGCTCAGCCAGCTGACCACAAAGCACTGCATACCTACGGGGGGAAGCAGCAGCAAGCTCAGCGAGGGCTGGATACCATCACTACAGGTGACGCCCCCACCCCAGCTGGAACTGAAAATATAATTTCTATCTGTATGTAATTCCCTCTCTTCATAGATCTGTGGTCCCAACTAATATTCTCTAGCAAACACACTGGTAGGCTCACAACTCTCCAAAGTGTACTAGGTACAAAACGTTGAGTCTTCCACAGTAAATCTCTCCTCTACACCTAAGAATACTGAGGCAGGGTCCCAGTCTAAGTCCCCAGTGTCAGAAGTTTCCCCCTTTCATAAAGAGTACAGTCACAGGTGTCATAAAAACTTGAAAAGCAGGAGATTGCTGGTAGATTAGATCAAGAGACCTGATTGTATTGGGTTTTTTGTTTTTTTGTCTCCTGAGTAAACAGGAAGAGGGTGTCATTGGCCTTGGAAGTATACAGATGTATCGTTGGGACTTGGGAAGCCATACTTTAGGACAGTGAAATTAGAACAGGATACTCGAGGAATTTCTAATATTAACTTGGGAACCAACAGAAGCAAAGGAAGAAAGGCCTCCAGTTTGAGGACCACCACCCCATCCCACTCCCCTCTAGCCAGCTTCCCGTCTCTATCTCCAAAACGAGGTCTCACTACCCTACCCCTCAGCATTGTTCCTAGAAGCACATTTGAAGAAGCTGAATGTCTAGCCAGGCCCAAGTTTCTTCCTCATGTCTTCACTAAATATCTGGGTATTTGTATTAGACACTACCAGAGACTCATTTCCATACTTTTGTGGACAGCTGTTCCTCAGAAATTGAGAGTAAAGTATGGGGCCAGTTTCCATCCCTGGGAGTCCACGAAGCAGCACCTATGACACCTAAGACACAGTGACCTGCCTCTGACAAGAGCGTGGCAAACAGTTTCCGCAACAGATAGCTGATAGTTCACGGTCTGAGGGCAGAGACACGGAAAGCAAGGGGCAGCAGTGGACAATGAACGTCTTCACTAAACGAGGAGGAGTCGTCAGATGCTGGACCCAGGCCCCAGGACACAAAAACGACCAGGCTCTGACCCATCAAGCTGGCAGAACTTGGCCTCACGTGAGACCAAGCAGGGCTGATGTTTTTGTAAGCCAGTAAGTTGACCACTAAACTTCCTGGGGATGAGCTCACATCCAGTTTTCTTCATGTGAGCCAAGCAAAGCAGCCACAGGTTGCAGCGAGGGGAAAGGAATTGTGCAGGAGAGGGAGCTGCAGATTGTCCCGGCCCTCTGAGGAGCTGTATAGCCAGGACGACTTACAAAGCTATTCCTTTCTCCAAGCCCTAACAGAAAAGAACCTTGTACTTCCTTGCCTCACCTGAAGGGCACCTCCCAAAGAAAACTCTGGTCTCTGGCTGGGGGTAGGGTGGGGCATATGAAAATGAAGGTCAGAGCACCCTCTCCTGGTTGCTCTGGCAAATGCCTTCATGGCTAGAGCAAAGAAAGGGCCCTAGTCTCCTCCACTTCTGACCCGGCTGGCTCTTCCCTGGGACCCTGCAGGGTGTTCTTACCACTGGTGACATTCAGCACTCTCATCCCCCTTCTCCAGAGCAGCCTCCGCTTCTCCTTTTCCTGTAGGACAGAGGCGAGCCAGAAATTCACAAGGGCCCCTATGCACATTTCCACAGAAAGGGCTGCTGAAGAATGACTGTTTTAGCTTTCAGCAGTCCCTACCCAACTTGGACTGGTTTGGAAATTGTGAACTTGAGCAGAATGAAGTCATATACAGCTTCTCAGACACGAGTCTGTATAATATGATTTCTACTTCACCTCCACCTCCCCATCTCTGTCATCAGCTGCCCCAGCTACCTTCTTTTTACAAAACCCACCTGATGTTCCTGAAGCAAATTTTAGCATTTCAAATATAAAGAGATGAGACCCAAAGGCCATCAGAAACTGTCCCCAGCAGATCTTACTCAGAAGGGTTTTGAACTGTGATCTGTGGATAGGCTTCAGGGTCTCCATGAATCCCTCTGAAATTGTATCCATTTTTTGGTATATGTGCATTTTATTGGGGAGAGGGTCCACAGCTCATGTTAATTATTGCTCCAGGCCCAAACACCCTCACAAGGGACAAATGTACTGAGGTCTGACGAGAGGTGACTTACTTGGTCTTACCTAAGTTTTCTAGGCACCAAAACTAACAAACCAAGGCCCAAATATGTGAAAGCTCTTGACAAGGGTCCCCTGGAGTGTCAAAGAGGCAGAGGCCTGTAGCCATCTGGATGGAGACATGCCTACACACTGAGGCAAAGAGCACACTGCCAAACAGGATTTGTCCGCTGATGAAAACTGAGGGCTTGAAGAGAACATGGAGAAAATGGAACAAATGTAATGTGTTGACGTGGTAGGCTGGCTACTCTGAAATTTTTCCTCATATTTGAATTATAGTAATTATGACATACATGTATAAGACAACCAATGCTACAAAAGACACCGACTTTCTTAGGGGATCTGTCTGTCCCCTTCAAGGCAGATTTGCTCGTTAAAAAAATAATAGTGAAGAAAGAGACAACCAGTTCCTGCCCAGTTCTCTGTCCTGCTCATTAATCTCCAGGTTAAACTATGAGGCTTTGACCCAGGTGCCAGGCAGATTGACAGTGGGGAGGACAGACGTTGCCTCAGATCCCACAGAATGGCTGCCTCCTGGTGGTCCAGCTTCTAGAGAGAGAAATGAAGAGCTTTAGGCCCAGCAAGGATGGTCCTAAAAGACTACAGTCCCAGAGCAGGACTATCAAAGACACTCCATAGTCCCCTGCCCTCCAGCAGGAACAGACTTGTCCCAGGGCGCTGCTAGCGGAGCCAGACCAGTGCCAGCTGTAGCTGCTCCTCTACCCTCACCCCAGCCTCTGGCCTCAAGATTCACGCTGCCTCCTTGTATTAGTAAGAGACCGAAAGGAAAGGGGATACAAAGAGCCTAAAGTCAGTCCAAAAGCCTATCAGAATCCTCACCTGAAATCTAGGAGGGAAAGCAGAAACTGTCTTAAAGAGAAAGAAACTGTGTAAGCAAGCACCTTTTGTTAGCACTTCCGGGGATTTTTCCGAAGGCCTATATCAAACATTTGATTCAACTGGCCTGTTCCTTCTACGTTAACAGAATTCTACAACAAAAATAAGTGTTGAGAACAATAACCTGAGGTATTGTCAGATTCTCCACTATCAGAGATTCAGTGGTGTTCACAAGGCTGAACTTATAAAAGTAGGAAAGTAGATGAATCCACTGTAGAGAGTTCCATTAACTTTAGGTAGTTAACTGAGCCACAAGCCCACTGACGGTGCTTGACTCAGTGTGCGGCCAGGCAGGACCCATCTTTCCCACAAGACCGGTCTTTTTTCAGTCCCAGGTTTCTCAGTGACCTTAAGACAGACAAGGAGAGCCCTGAGCCTGGCACAGGTCAGCTGCATCCCTACCCCTCAGGATATGACTTTGACAACAGACTTGTAAAGTGGACCCCAGGGACTTGTAAGCTGGCAGCAGTCCCCCGTGCTGCCCCTCCCAGGCACTCACCAAACATCCACTCACGTTCCTAGGACACCTGCTCCCCAGGCCCCACAGGTGACACGAGACCCCTAGGCAGCAGCAAAATTCAGGTTAAGAAAGGAGGCTTTCCCCATCTGTGGTTAGGGAGTGAGAACCAGTCATGCTTACATGATACAACTACTCCTAAAGACCTGTGCCCTGTGTTACTCAGTCACCACACTGTGATTCCTCTTCCTCAGGAGGAAGCAGGGGCCTTGGCAGCCAAAGAATTTGTCCCTGGTGAGTGACTGAGCCACAGCTGTCCTGGCAGCCAGCATCTCGCTCCTTCCCCTGGGCCCCAAGCAGATGGGCCAGCTCCACTCCCAGAATCAGCCACCTTCCCACCTGGCCCCTGGCAGCACTCACCATTTAGGGCATATGACTTCTTCTCGCTCACCTCCTCAGTCAGCTCACACATGTCACTGTAGGCTCGGGCCAGGCGCCAGAGAAAGTCCTGCCGGCTTCCATACTGCAGAACAAACAGAGGTGTGAGGCCCCTCTTCCTCAGCCGCAGAGTGGGGCCCTGGCCCTCTCCCCACATCCCAGGTTTGCGTTTCCAAGTCAGTCTGTTATAGTCACTGAGATCAGGCCAGCCCCGAGGCACAGCCCTCCCCAACGTGGCCTCTGCCGTGCATCTGATGACAAGGCTTGCACCAGTGCAGGCAGAGGGCACTCTGGCCTCCCAGTGTGGCCAGAAGTCAACGCCAGGGAGACGGAATGAGGCCCGGCAAGACAGACATCTTCTGCTGACACAATGAACAAAGTGAAATTGCCCCAAAAAGGGAAAATTAAAATCTGGGCTTCTATACCTGGGTGAGCATAAATTCTGGCAGTGAACTTGGGAGAAGAATGCTCACCTGTGCCACCCACTTAGGCTTGTGATGGAGGCTGCAAGTGGGGCTCTTTGCCTTAAGGGAAGAAGTAAAGAGGGGGAAATCCATCCCAGTTCTTCCTACGATGGGGGTGTAGCTCTTCCACAGAGCCTCTCCACAAGGCAGCGGACTGTCAGCTCTGGGGGACAGTACACAGACTACCAGGTCAGTGCGTGGCCTCCTGGGAACAGGATGTGCCATCCTGGGGGGTGGGAACCCTCATTCCCCTCCCCAAGTCTGCTTGCAGGAGGCAGTAACCACATGGGCCTCCCGTCCTGCCCTGGGCCAGGACGGGAAGAGAGCAGGCAGGCAAGGGGAGCCTCACCACCAGCTTGTTGTTGAGCAGCAGCTGGAAGCCCTCCCGTTTGTCCCGCTCACTGCCCTGGTGCAGCTCGTCCGCCTGCCGCAAGAGGGGCAACACATCCTCCTGGCCAGAGACTCCGCCATCCTCCAGGGTACCAGGCCCAGGGCCCGAAGCTGCCTCCACCTCCAGGTCCAGAGAGTCCTTTCTCCCCATCTTCACAGTCTCGCAGCTCACTTCATCTTCCCCGTCCTCACTCTCCTTGTCAGCGTCCTGGTCATAGTCAGACTCAGCGTTGGCTGTTGTGTACCTACAGCAGAGAAAGGTAAGTGACAGGGTCAAGGGAGAGGATTAGTCAGCCTCCAGAGAACCAAGGGCCACCCACACAGAGGGACTCCCCATGGCACTGTTGTCCAAGGTACCATTCCTACTGCTTAGGGGCAGAATTAGTCCTCGAAAGAAAGCTACTTGTGGGAACTGTGGGCTGGGGAAATGACCGGAAGGAGAAGAGTGACCAGCTGGGGGCCCCGTGAATGGTCAGAGGCCACTCTGAGAACCTTCCGCTTAGCTACCACCACGTCTGCTGGAAAACAGAAAAAAAAAAAGGCCTAGAAGTATGAACCCGAAGATGCTGGTGGATCTCTCAGGGTAGAGGAATTAAAGGTAGTTTTTTCGTCTATCTTTTAACATTACTTATGATGTCTTTAGTGAGCATAGGTATTCTCCTTTTATATATAAAAAAGAAATGAAAACCTTAAGATGCAGGAGGAGCTGATCTCCTGAGCTAGATTACTCACTAGGCCAAGGGTTTGCTTTATCAGCCAAAGGCACCTGCCAGAGCCAACTGGGGCAGGGGCCAACCGCCGAGGTCAGGGGCAGCACAAGCGCCTGCATTTTCTTTCTCAGTTAAACTTGTTCCTCTGTCCTACATCAGCAAGAAACCTGAACCACACAGGAGTGGCCCAGGGGAACCACAGGACCTTGCTGGGGGTAGGGACTACTCTGTAGGTGGAAGGAGGGGAGGAGGAAGATATAAATAGAACCTTCTGGGAAGGTGCCTCTGGGTCTGCCATTCTCACACCTCCCTGACCACCAACCTGGCCCCTGGAGAGATCCACCAGAGGCCCTTCTGTTAACACACCCTCAGGCTTTGAGGATGGGCCAGGGACTGGCGGGGACCTATACAGACAGGAACCCACCGTTCCCACAGTGGGCCAGGCCCACGGCTCCTTCTGAGCAAGGAGGCCAGAGCTCCCCTACTCTGCTCCTAAGGACAGCCCACAAGTCAGTGACCATGGACTCAGGTACACACAAAGCCCCTCCTGGCACTAAGTTTCTATCTTTCAACCAGGGCTTCCAACTGGTTCGTTCTGGTTCGAAACCCTGCTGAAAACTTGCATTTCTAACAAGTTCCCAGCTATGCTAATGCTGCTGGTTAGGGGCCAATTGAGAACCACTAGTAGAGCAGTGGTTCTCAGAATTTATATAAGAATCACCTGAGGATCTTGTTAAACTGCATTCTGATTCAGTATATCTAGGGTAGAAACACAAATTCTCAGCAGGGGTTTGAACCGGAACAAACTGGTTTAAAGCCCTGCCTTCAACTCCTAAGCCCATTAAGGGGCTGAGCTGTGCAGCATTCAAAGATGACCAGGCCCTGACCCTGACAGGCTCTCAGTGGTGGAGATAAGACCCAGGCTAAAAGAAGTGACAGACGCCCAAGAAGGAGGGAAGATGAGGTTGTGGGCCGTCCCTCTTGGCTGGGATGCCTGGGAAGGCTTCCTGGAGGAGGTGGTATTTTAAGGCAAATTGGGTCCTGACAGGGAGAGAACTTAAGTTGTGGTCAGTGATTCTGCCTCTGCCATATCCAGTTGATCTCAGAGCTCAAAGTCGCTATTTTATTTGGGAGGAGGAGGGAATATAGCTTCCAGCAGAGTAGGACAGCCATCAGATCTTCTCCCTTCATCCCTCAAAGAAGCCCCCCTTCCCCTGGCCAGCATTTGTGGTCTCCTCCCAGACTCCCCCTTGACCTGTATGGCGCTGACCATGGCAGAGAGGGAGCCCTGGTGGCACAGTGGTTAAGCACTTGGCTGCTAACCAAAAAGTTGGCAGTTCGAATCCACCAGCCACTCCTTGGAAACCCTATGGGGCAGTTCTACTCTGTGCTATAGGGTCGCTATGAGTCGGAATCGACTCAACGGCAACGGGTTTATGGCAAAGAGAAGTGTTCGGCGTCGCCACTGCCCCAGAGAGCAGCCAGCCGAACCACAGAGCCTTGCACCACCACAGGCTTCTGCACGGCCACCGAGGGATCAGTCACGGCTAAGCCTGCTGAGCTGTAATCAGGAGCACCACCCTTCCCTTGCAGCCCTGTCCTGCCCTGATCTTGGGCAGAGCTGTGACCTCTCCTATCAGCCCTTCTTACGAAGTTCACGCATCAGTTCCCCCAGCCAAGTGGTCTGCTTACTTGGGTTCCACAGATGTGCTCTTTAAGCCTCGGTGTCCACTGTAAACTGCTTCCAGTCCTTCTCATTTCTTTGCAATCCAGACACATGTCAAACAGTAATTTCAGTTTTGCTCCCTCCTCTAACACAGCCCTCTGGAAGCATCTCCAGGCCCAGAGGCAAACTGAATAGAAAAGGGCTGCTTCTGCTAGCCTGGAGAACGCAGCTACCAGGGGTCAGGCAGCCCAGAGCTGTGGTCATGGATGGAGGACTAGACCTCTTCAGCAAGACTTCACTTGTTTCAAGGGGCACCTGAGCAGTAATCAAACCCAGCGCGGGTGTCCGTGGCGGCGACGTGGAAAGGGAGACTAGCGCTAGTCTTCATTTTCTTAGAAAGCTAAAGGAGAACAAGCAGGAGAATATAATGGCCCAAACAGGAAAACAAGGCTGAAACTACTTGAGTAAGACGAGCTGAACAGATGGTACCACTGGCCTCAGGTCTTCCCCGGCAGTGAGCTGGGGCAGTTCTTAGCCCACATGCTGCCTGTCTTCCTGAGGAGCCCCCTAATGTGCCGAGGACCAAGCCATGCCTAGGATCACAGACCCTCACCCCTGTAGATGAACCCAGTTGTCGAGAGATTGGAACTCAGTCAGACAGGCTACATCTGCACAGTGACACCACTCAGTAGTTGTACAATAACGGGCAAGACATCACCTCACTAAGCCTCAAGTTCTTCATCTGAAAGTAGGAAGAATTGAAGCACTTACTCCATAGGATTGTTGTGAGGAAATGCCTCTAAAGTGCTTAGCGCAGTGTCTGGCACAGAGGGAGAGAAGAATAAACGGTAGCTAATTTATAAACTGTTATAGGTAAAGGGGGCCAATCCCGCAAAATCACCCCGAATAGCTGATTTGAACGTCTGGTTTCCATGTGCTTGCTCACAGCTGAATCAGTCACCCTGACCTAGTGTAAAGCTTGACTGTTCTCTGTACCAATCTTTTTCCTGAGGAGAAAGAAAGGTCAGCAGAGCTCACCAAGGAGTGACCAGCCTCTGGATCTCATACAGGTCACCTGGATGACTGCAGCTGTTTCTGTTCCGACTCATAGCGACCCCATGCACAACAGAACAAAACACTGCCCAGTCCTGCTCCATCCTCACAATTGTTGTTACGCTTAAGCCCATCGTTGCAGCCACTGCGTCAATCCATCTCGTTAAGGGTCTTCCTCTTTTTCGCTGACCCTTTACCAAGCATGATGTCCTTCTCCAGGGACTGATCCCTCCTGACAACATGTCCAAAGTATGTGAGACGCAGTCTTGCCATCCTTGCTTCTAAGAGCATTCTGGTTGTACTTCTTCCAAGACAGATTTGTTTGTTCTTTTGGCAGTCCATGGTATATTCAATATTCTTCACCAACACCACAGTTCAAAGGCATCAATTCTTCCTCAGTCTTTATTCATCGTCCAGCTTTCACATGCATAGGCCGTGACTGAAAACACCATGGCTTAGGGCAGGTGCACCTTAGTGTTCAAGGTGACATCTTTGCTTTTCAACACTTTAAAGAGGTTTTTTTTTTTTTTTAATATTTTATTGTACTTCAGGTGAAGGCTTACAGAACAGATAGTTTCTCATGTAACAGTAACACACATGCTGTACTTTAAAGAGGTCTTTTGCAGCTGACTTGCCCAATGCAATGAGTCTTTTGATTTCTTGACTGCTGCTTCCATGGGAGTTGATTGTGGATCCAAGTAAAATGAAATCCTTCACAACTTCAATCTTTTCCCCATTTATCATGATGTTGCTTTTCGGGCCAGTTGTGAAGATTTCTGTTTTCTTTATGTTGAGGTGTAATCCATACTGAAGGCTGTGGTCTTTGATCTTCATCAGTGAGTGCTTCAAGTCTTCTTCACTTTCAGCAAGCCAGGTTGTGTCATCTGCATAATGCAGGCTGTTCATGAGTCTTCCTCTAATCCTGATGCTGTTCTTCTTCATATAGTCCAGCTTCACAGATTATTTGCTCAGCATACAGACTGAATAGGTATGGTGAAAGGATACAACCCTGACGCACACCTTTCCTGACTTTAAACCATGCAGTATCCCCTTGTTCTGTTCGAACGACTGCCTCTTGGTCTGTGTACAGGTTCCTCATGAGCACAATTAAGTGTTCATCAGAGAAACACATAAGCCCCCACAGTATGACAAACTGACAGACACGTGGGGGACTGGAGCTAGCGGTGGACAAGGCAGATGCTGTGACAGCATTAGCACAGAATGAACAAACATGTTCATTCAGACTCCAGCCTTGGGACCAGAGTTTCAAAATTTCACTAGTGGTTTAAAATCAAAAAGCCTTTAGCCTGACCCAGCTTCAAGGAGGCTGTCCACTAGACTCCTGCCTGTGGCCCTGCCTCACTGTAAGGCCTACAGTAGGACCTGCTGGGCCACTGAGTAATGGGATCAGTCACCTTCCACCTGCAAAGCTGGGAGCATGGGCAAGCCTCCCCTGGGGGAAGACGGGAACATCCAGGGGGATGGGAGCACGCTGAGTGCTTGGAGACTCTACACCTGGCTCAGCACTCCACGAAAGAAACAAAAGCATCCAAACAACGCATACAACGTCCTTGTGATAACACAAAAATGCCCAAAACACTAATGTTACAAGAAAACCAAGTATATACTATGTCATGAAAACCACGTAACAACAAACCTGCTCAGAGGAAAAGGACAGATGAAGCAAAACCACTGTTAACATTTCAGTTTTTGTCTGGACGACATAAATTGGATGATTTTTTTGTTTCAACTTTTCTGTGTTTTATTTACTTATAGCCTTACCTTGTTCCAAAAATTATTTACAGCAGCTTGGTCTACATTTTCTATTGGTAAGCGTTACTTTTAAAAACCGCACCCCAACCACAGCCACAGGCGCCCCCAGGAGACGACTCACCCGCCTTCACTCTCGGCATCTGTGAGTGTGGCTCCCGATGTGGCCGTGAAGTAGACAGAGCTGGAGCCAGTGGAGTCGCTCCTCTCCCGGGCAAACGGGAACCTTCGCCGCCGCGCCACCCTCTGGTGCTCCTCCATGTGGGATCTGGAAATCAGGCCCCGGGCAGGAGGGTGCCATTAGCCCCACCCAGCCTGGCTTCTCCCTTACCATGAGCGAGCCTCTGACTACCACTCCTCATGGAAGGGCCAAAGGCAGGGAAGATCCCTGGCTCTGTCTCCACCCTCAGGAAAGCAAGACGGGCAGTTCTCTGGCCCCAGCCTGGATGGACAGACCAGATAGGCAGGACAGAGTTCCAGCAGCTGCCACGGACTGGGACGGCCCTGAAGCCGCAAGGAATTTGCACAAGGCAGGGTACCAGTGTACTGCTTCACTGCAAACTAGCTTAGAAGCTGTAAACTGGCCTCTTCTTAGAGACAGATGGCAAGGCCAGAACACGCCCCGGCAGAAAAAGCTGGAGGGCCAGGGAGAAGCTGGGGCAAGGGCACAAAGTAGCAGGGGCCCCACCACTCACCGGACCTCCCCAACAATCTCCCCTGCAAGCCCTTGCAGGCTGCTCCTCAGCTCCTCCACCTCCCGCCGCAGCACCGCGAGACTGGTCAGCACGGAGTCCAGGCGGCCCAGCACTTCCTGCTGCCCTTCTCGTGTAAGACGGGATGGCGCCACAGCATCTCCAGCCTCCCTTGGGGCCGCCGGCAGCAGCATCACTGAAGGAAGGGCCACAGGGAAGAAGGACTCTCGTGCTCAGAGTTCAGAACACTTGCTCCTCATCCAAGTTCCATTTACAGAGAAGATTCTTAAGGCTCAAATGGAGTATTTTCACAGCTAAGTCATGGAAACAAGTTCCAAGTAGCTCTCCAGAAAAAAAAATTAAGGTTCTAGTCTTGAAACAAGAGCCCTCTGCTCCAAGACTTTCCACACCAGAGCTGGACAGCAGCGCGGCACAGCACAGCAGATAATGTGAAATGCCTGCAGGCAGGAGGGCGGTACCTGGAAGGCTGCCCCGCTGGAGTGAAAGAGCCTTTACCTGACAACACAGTGTCCAAATACCAGGCAGCCAATGCCAACCACACACAAAACTAACACTGAACCCATTCAGATTCTGATCTTTCACTTCACAAAGAATAGTAGAGAAAACTCGGAGCTCTTCTCAAGAACTGCATTTAGTGTCATCAGAGAGGGACACAGAGAAAAGAGGAAGTTGCTAAGAGAAAAGGTACACTGGAAAAAGTCCATACAGAGCCCACAGGAAGAACACCATGTCCAAGCCCCACTACCCAACCCTGAATTGAGCTCCAGCTGAATTCCCACAGTGAAATGCTACAAACTGAGCGCCACAGGCAACTAGACTGGAAAATGTAAAACCAGGGAAAAAAAACCAGGGGGCACAGCCCACAGTCAAGCAAGCACAAATCCTTTGTGAAAGAAAGTCTACTAACAATCTAGGCCATAGTACAGTATAAACAGAACACAAGCAAAGGAAGAAAGGACAAGCATACCTGCCATCCTGGGTTACTACCAGACTATAAAATGCTGGCAATCAGTTACAATCTGGGGTGATAACTTTTTTTTTTAACTATTTTTTGTGTATTTGGTGAAAGTTTACACAGCAAATTAGGCTCCCGTTTGACAATTTCTACACAAATCGTTCAGCGACATTAGTTCCATTTTTCACAATATGTCAACGTTCTCTTTAATTGTGTTCTGGTTGTTCAGTTTCCAGTACTCTAGTTTCCCTTCCCCCTTATCTTCTCATCTTTGCTTTAGAGTAACTGTTGACCTTTTGGTCTCATATAGATGATTTTTTAATGGAGCACCATATTCACGGATAATATCCTGTATTTTCTGTGCCAATCTGTTACTTCACTAAATGGTGACCTGAGGGGATAGTTTCAGTTCAGGGTGTAAAGAATATCTCAGGGCAATAGTCTCAGGGAGTCCTCTAGTTTCAACTGGTCCATTAAGTCTGGACTTTTTAAGAATCTGAGTTGTGTTCCACGTTCTTCTCCTGTTCTATCAGGGTCCATCTACTGTGGCCCTGATTAGAACGGTCAGTAATAGTAGCTGGGCACCATCTAGTTCTTCTGGTCTCAGGGTAGATGAGGCCATGACTCGTATAGGCTATTAGCCCTGTAGACTAGTTTCTTCTCCGAGACTTTGGTTTCCTTCTTACTCTTTGCTCCTGAAGAGTAGAAACCAATAGTTTTATCTTAGATGGCTGCTCGCAAGTTTTTAAGACCCCAGACACTACTCACCTCACTAGGATGTAGAACATGAACTCTGTGGTGCCAGCTGATTGAGTTGTCCCATGAGACTAAGGTCCTAAGCCTTCAAACCCGGAAAACCAGTCTCACAAGGTGTTTGGTTATGTCTGAGAAGTATCTGTAACTGTGTCCTCTATGAATATATATGTATGCACACACATATCTGTAGGCACATGTACATATAGATACGTCTATCTGTGCACACGTATGTACACACTCGTACCTATCTGTACACATACATGCCTATACACCTACATGTGACCATACACTGGTTTTTTTTGGTTATTATTGGTGTTGTTGCTGAATTATATATGCCATATTCTTTAGCATAAACATCCTTTTCTCTTGTGTACTTCTTAGTGACACCATTTACTTTGGTCAAGCTGTGCTCATTATACCCACATTCTGTGCTACCTTTCCCGTCACCAAAAATAACAAGTATCTATGATCTAGAGAGTGATCCCCCTGCCCATCCCTGGTCACTACCAATGAACACTGGTCTCTCTCTATATCTTATCTATTCTTGTCTTCTTATAAAAGGGAGATCATACAATATTTGTAGAGTGATAATTCTCTGAAGGCTCTCTTCCAAAATTAACTTCTCCAAACCAACATTGCTAAAATCAGACCTGGCGCTGGTAATCAGGGAAAGCACAAGTAACATGGGATGAGATGATCTGAACACTCCTCTATCATACAAAGATGAGGAAGGAGCGGGGAGGTTTAAGCCAGCCCTGGATGCTTTGCTCAAACAAGTTAACATGAAAGTTTTGCAAAACTGAAAGTGCTGTGCATTTCAGCTGTGACTGGCTTCCAGCCACATTCAGCTTCAATTGCGTTAAGTGAGCCCCCAGCCCTGTGCTGTGGAAAGTCCACTGGACCAGGTGACCAGGCCCAATCATGCCACTTACTTGCTCTGTGACAACCTCAGGACAGTTAATCATTTGAATCTTGATTTCCTCATAAGGACAAAAAATTTGGACTAGATTGTCTCCAAGGTCCCCTTGAAATTCTAATGATAATAAGTAAGCCTCAAGACTTTTAATTCTTACAAGATTAGTTATACCTTCTTCCTTCTTTTGGACTCTTCCTCTATGTACTACACACACTGAGCCAAGCTAACCCAACACTAAGTGCCTTTGATACACACACAGCACGATGTGGCCACAACTAAAAGTGAAAGCTAAAGACTTCACAGTATACTTTCCTGGGATTACAGGGGAAAAGTACAGAAGATGAAGATTGCTTTTCTTTTCAATAAGCTTTCCAAGAAAGTGAAACCCTCAGGCACTCCCGTTGCTCTGTCCCACAGGCTCTGCTAAAGGCAGCCCAGACCCCAGGCCCATCTGTCAGCAGTGACCACGACTTCAGGGGACTGGCTCCTACCCTCGCGTCCGGACTCTGAAGTCTGCGTGTAGTCCAGGGAGTTGGGCAGGCTCTGGCTCCGGCCATGGCGCTGAGTTCGTTTCCACCGCTGGATGTAAAGGGCGCACAGGAATCCAAGGCCCGCGGCGGTGCCCAGCAACAGCCCCAGGCCCGTGCGGGCGCCGCCCAGGACCCCCAGTCTAGACATCCTGTACCTGCAGCCCGCGCGAGCCACGGGAAGAAGGTGAGGTTAGGGGTAGGAAGAATTTGGGGAGGAAACAGATTCGTGAGCCTGACTCACCCACCCCCAAGGCCAAACCCCTGGAGATACCTCCTTGCCCAAACCCTTTGCTTCCGACTACCCTCACCCCAGTGCGGACCCTAAGGCTCTGCCAGCCGCTGTGCCTGGACTACCGCGCCTTTCACCCAGCCTGGACGCAGCCTCCCCTCCAGCACACCCCCTAGCCCAGATCAAGGAGTGCGGCTTCTGAGCCTCCAACCCCCGCCTCAGCCTACCCGCACGGCAGTGTGCGACCTCGCTGCCCTGCCCGCCAACTCCCGGCCTCCCCAGCGCTTGGCCTCGCAGGAGATTAACTTCCACCCTCGGACTCTTACCGGGCCCGTCGCCACCATGGCAGCAACCACCGCCGCCCTCGCCTCACACTGTCAAGGACCGTGACGTCATTAAACGGCGCCTTCCATTCCGCGCGCTGTAGGAAGACGCCGTGAGATGACCACTGAGGCCCCGCCCCCGGCCGGGCACCTCCTAGGGGCGGGGCCACGGGGGAGACGTCCAGTGGGCGGAGCCAGCAGAGAGCGGGAAAGGGAAACCGAGAGAGGAGAAGGGAGGGGAAGGGCTGAGAGCCGGGAGGCGCGACCCAAGCGCCCTTCACGGTCTGGTCAGCTGAGGCTCCATTTCCCTTCAGTCACACTAAATTGCTTGCTGTTCCCTAGTATGCTTCGCATTTTTACGCTTTCTACCTTTGCTGCCACTGTTACTTCTGCGTAGAATGACCCCTTCTCTACCTGAAAAACGCCACCTCTCCCCACCTTAACACTGTCATTTCATTTCACTTAATTGTTTTTGGAATTTTTATCCATTTACTAGCAGTGGACAATAGCGCCTTTGGCAGATCTAATTGTAGAACAGGTTAATTGTTGGTTATCCACAAGATGTCCCTGAGTTGCTGCGGTCAGCTTCTGTCAGCTGACTTTTAAAAACTCAAATTATAGAGGAGTACACCCAGCACTAAAACATCTCAAACCTTATGTTGTCATTATTACACTAAGCGGGGACGGGGTCGTAAACTCTTTATCCATTTCCAGAATGTAAATGGAATCTTTGAAATTCATTTCTCTGATGATAATTTTTTTTAAACATTTGGGTGGATCAGACTTGATTGCCGATTGTCTAAATCAGTTCAGATACCATTTAGATTTGTTTGTTCGTCTGCTTGTTTTTAATATGTGGTGATCATTTTTTTCTGTGCCTACTAGTGGCCCATAGATTCTTTTATATTTCCACTTTTCTCATGTAATTTTCTGTAGCTCCTTGTAATTTTAGCAACTAGAAAGACTGACTTGAGGGGCTATAATTCCAACTTTATTGTCAGTGTTTCATAAGACTTAAAATCTAGTTTAGTGACAGCAAAATTTTGACTACATCTTATATTTATTTACCTTTTGTGACATATTTTACATATATAAGAGTATATTTAATTTATATGTACATTGTAAAGAATAAATTTAAAACACCTCCCAGCTTAAGGAACTGAACTTCGCCAATACCTCCTACCCATGTTTTTAAAATATTTTATTGACTGATGGACCACAGCTACCAAGGCCTCCACCAGACTGAGTCCAGTACAGCTAGATGGTGCCCGGCTACCACCACTGACTGCTCTTACCAGGATCACAACAGAAGGTTCTGGACAGAGCTGGAGAAGGATGTAGAACAAAATTCTAACACACAAAAAAAAGACCAGATTTACTGGCCTGAAAGAGACTGGAGAAACCCCAAGAGTATGGCCCCCAGACACCCTTTTAGCTCAGTAGTGAAGTCACTTCCGAGGTTCACTGTTCAGCCCGGGATTGGACAGCCCCATAAAAGAAAACGGGACTAATGAGGCACAGCAGTCCAGGGACAAGGACTAGAAGGCAGAAGGGGACAGGAAAGCTAGTGATAGGGAACCCAAGGTTGAGTAAGGATAGTGCTGACATGTAGTGGGGTTGTTAACCATTGTCATAGGGCAACATGTGCGCTAACTGTTTAATGAGAAACTATTTTGTTCTGTAAACCTTCATCTAAAGTGAGAATAGCAGCACAACTGGAAGAATGTAATTGATGTCACTGAATTGTGCATGTAGAAATTTTTTTTGAAATGGTGTATCTTTGGCTATGTATATTTTC